TTTATTTAATTTTTTTTAAGTTAGTTGGAATTTTAATCTCGTTTAACAATTTTTCCTCCTCATTAAACACACTGCTTGATAGGCGAAGCGAGATCATCTTACTTTAATCATTAATAGTTTGTCTCCATTTCATTCATCTATGGATATCAAATTTCCCATTATTTAATCTATCTACTTTCGTACTGTGTAATAATAGATTTATCTCACTCGTTATTTTTTCTTGTAAGATCTATCCATTTACAAATTATACTTTACAAGTCTCTCCAAGTTTTATTTTGTGGTGTTCTGAGATATGTTTTACGTATTTGTATTTGTTTTTTCTGTAAAACTTTCAGTAATATTTAAGAATTTGAATCAACTATCAAATTTCTAAATTCAGTATAATTTCTATTAAATCTCCAATTAAATTTATAGTAAATTATGAATTTTAGAGCTGTTGGTAATGCTTCTATACATCGAAATCGGAGAGGTTAAAGAAGAGGATCGAGATCAAGCTTAATTTAAATGTCACGGTCCTCTCTGACATTAAATTAAGACGAGTTGTTATAACATATTTATACAATTTCTGCATCACTCAGCGAGTTTCTGTACTTGTAAGCATGAATTCATTTAATTTTGTCAGCTTAAATTTTATCAGAGCTTGCTTGGAGCTTTTCGGATGGATTTCTAACTTTTGGAGTGGAAAACTCATGCTGTGGACTGAGAACAATCCACTCCCAAGGGTTTTTCAACCATTCCTATCCACCACCTTTGCTAGATAGACAGTCCTCTTCTATGCTAGCTCATTGCAAATCTTTCATCCTCCTATTATTTATATTGTCATTTCCTGTATCTAGTCAAACATCTTTCCAAGCAGCTGATTATTGCTCTTTCTACATTAGAATCGATCCATTGTTATTTCTGATATTTTATTTCATTTTAATTTTATGTATGACATTACTGGACTGCAATTTTCTAAAATTGCAGCCCTATAAATTCTCACCTAACATCCTCCTGTCTGTCCTTGATTTAGATAGATAACCGGCATGACTCTATTGTTATCAGGAAAAGGATAATGTACAGCGGCAAAAGTACTAAAATTGAGAGCATATTATCAGTGTTTATAACAAATTCCATTCAACAATTTGCTGATAAAATTAATTTTTAATATGCAAAAAACATAATTATGATGCTACGTGAACACATGGAGTGGTCTGTGTTTTGTGTGGAAACTTCTGAAATACCTTGTGTACTTTTAACAATTAGTAAAATTGTCTTTAATTATGCGATTTAAATGAGTTAAATGTTATGTTTTCACGAGATTTAAGTGAAAATTCAATATAAGAATAACAGATAGCGCCACACGTAGTTTTAAATGTTGTTACCGGGAAAGTTACGCAACTCGTTTCTAGAATTTTACTCCTATTNAGTAATTAAAAATGAAATTGAAAGTAATTTTTTTAAATCTATGCTGAAATTTTTTGTTTTTAAAGATAATTTTCAATTTTATTTTATTTAAGATTTTATAAGAGAAAGAGCATCAGTGAAAGATAAAGGACAAGATCATCATAAACTACAACGAAAAAGATCTAATTTCTAAATTGCTGATGAGGATGATGAGGAAGTCTTTTTAAATCGTTATCATTTTATAAATTATGTACTTTTAACTATTATTAATTAACGTTGCTTATTTAAGATGATATATTTATTTATGATGTCATAATAAAACATAATTCATTACAATTGAGAATTTAAAAAGTTTTCAATTTGTAATTAATTTTTTATATAATCAATGATGAATTTACTGAAAGTATGTGAAGAGATGTAAAGAATTTTCATTTTGCATTAAAATTCTTCACGAATTCATCTGTCAACATTAATGACAAATGGCATGACAAATTCTAGATGTTGTTTCGAATAGTCTTTTCTCTTTAAATGCCCTTATTGTATGCAGAAAACGTAAATATATAAATTCAAAAACTAGAAAATCTTAATTTAATTTCTTTATATTATTAAGAATTATATAAAATCAAACCTAAATTTTTAGAAAAATAATTAAGAAGTTTATTTTAAAATATATATTACGCTTAAGAGTACCATTTAGGTGGTTAAAATCATATATTTAACAGTAATATAAGTGCAAATATTTATATTTTTTATTCAAAATAATTAAATACGTGTCGACGAGGCTATAAACTATATATTAATAAATAATTAAATTCAATCACTTCAGAGTAAACTCGAGATTTGTATAGGAGACAACTCTAAAGAATTTTCTTATATAATTAGGTATTTAAAGGAGAAGAGATTAAATACAGATACAAATTTGATGTCTTCACAAATCCTTTACAACCATAGGAACACAATGAACATGAGCAGAGTCGCCCTTACTTTTGAGAATATTGACAATTTACGAATATGTAAATTGATTAAAAGTCCCTCTGGCATCGAATTCTTGTAGAAAAATTTCTATTCATACATATTCTAAGCGGGTAATTGCTTCAAAAGAAAGGTCGACTCTGCTCATGTTCATTGTGCTCCTATAGTTGTAAAAGACGTGTGAAAACATCAAATTTTTATTTGTATTTAGACTTCAATTTTTTAAAATAATAAGACCTCTATACCTACATCACATCATTAGTGATATAGATGCATAGTGACTTTCTGTCACTGTGTATTCTGTTTTTCATCTTCTGTCTTGCACACTGCATCACGCGTCAAGGATCACATTGATAGAAACTGCTTCAAACTGTTGGAGAGCTCTTTGGAGAGTTAGAATGGTTCGTGAATGCCATACAAGAGCAGATCATAAATAGAAAAAGTTACAAGAAGCATATTTTAAAAGACATTTGTAGGAAATGCCACATCTTGCGCCCTGCCCACTGTAATGCATTTGTTTAGACTTTCACTTCTTATTAGATATTTATTACGAGAGTTATAGTTATTAAGCTTCAAAACGGGTGGACAAAATCGTGCCTCGTAACCGTAAATTGTTTCATAATCTTAAGTTACAAGGAATAGGATCAAAACTTGTAAAAGTACCACAATGATGAGTTTTGTTACTAGTTATGTTATGGAAATGTCTTCTGAGTGTCCTGAAACGTCCACCATTGTAATGTATGTGGCGGAAGGTAGGGGCTCATTACAGGCAATTTTNCTTTATTAGGTCCGAACCCATTCGAGATACGACAAACAATCCTTTGTATCTCCAAACTCCTTCGATCTTTAACCACTAAAATTTAATGGCATCAATGCCCTTAATAAACAAACTCTCCTGTAAAATTTCAGAAATTTTCAATAACGAATACGAGAGTTATTAAGCTTCAAAACGGGTGGACAAAATCGTGCCTCGTAACCGTAAATTGTTTCATAATTTTAAGTTACAAGGAATAGGATCAAAACTTGTAAAAGTACCACAATGATGAGTTTTGTCACTAGTTATGTTATGGAAATGTCTTCTGAGTGTCCTGAAACGTCCACCATTGTAATGTATGTGGCGGAAGGTAGGGGCTCATTACAGGCAATTTTGTTGCCGAAAAGAATACGGAGATGAACACGCAAGCAGTAATTGTACATGGAGTTTAGACAATCCCATCTAATTTATGAGTACCCTATTATGTTTATGTAAGTCTTTACTCAAGTGTTTAGTGGTTTTATCCATTCGGCTATTGGTGTGCCACGCACACGGCCATAAGTTGTTACGTTAAACCATAAATTTTTATAAAAATTCAAATTATATTGGATTAATATCATTGGAGCTTCGATAAGTGTCGTCATTCAGGTACGAGTGCAATCAGCGTGCTTGAATGAAACTCAAACCACGTGACTGGAAGAATGGAACCTACACATTCATAATGCTCTATATAATAGCTGCTGAAGGATAGCCTGACATACACCGAAAATGCTGGCCATTTATTTTAAGGAGGTAAAGATATTTTTAATTTTATATATATATATATATTATATATATACTTAAGTTTATTTTTGGTTTATATTAAAATATATATAATTTCTTAGGAAGTTTTAAGTTTGTATATGTTAAATAAGGTTTATTTATTTAATATTTGTACAAGATTTAATATAAATATACAGATTTTATTATATAGAAAGATATAAGTTATGTATAAGCTATAGGGATGAGAACAGTTCAAGGTAAACTTGTATCAGTTTTGTATGGAATATGCTTTTATTCTTATATTCAAGAATTAATAATTATAATTTTAAATTTATATATATNCCATTTAGCTATTTCTTCTATCATTTCCAATTCTCTTTTACGCGCTAATCTAGGAGGCAATCCTGTAAAAAATAACATCAACATATATATATATAAAATAGTTATTCAAGAAAAGTTTTGATATACAAGATGGCTCAAAAGTCGTTTTACCATTGTTAAAGTCTAATTTTCTGGTGATGAATTAAGCAACGCTACACAGCGGAGGTGCCTCTCATGAGGACTTTTATGAGAAACAAGCTGATATTTAGATGTTAGAAACATAAAGAAAATTCGGCAAATTCCACATAGATCAGGCGCTAACCCACAACTAACTACCAGTGTTTAGAGACCTACCAGTGGCCATGCGGTTTTATTCCCTAAATACTGGGAGTTCGGGCGTGGGTTCGCGAGGAGAGTTTTCCGGTTTCTTACACATCTGAGACGCCTGAATAGGGGCCAGTTACCCTCAAAAGACCTCCGGAAGGCATTATTCCCCGCGTAATAATTATTATAAACACATACAACTATTATTACATGACAATTACGTATTACGGTACAATGTAGCATAGAAACTCGTGCCCAACTATCCGACACAAGACACTGTTCAGTGATTTTATCTACTCGGCGACTATTGGGCTACAAATTTGTCCTATTCATTGCTTATAAACTTTACAAAAACAGTTCAATATGAGATCCTTCTTATTTGATATTACAAATTACAATGCTCTATCAACATACAAATTTCTGAGTTACTTCTGATAAATAAGGTTAACTAACTTTTTGGCTATCCCTTTTACGGAATTACCTTTGAGCCTTACCTTTGAGAACTGTTGTTTTCTTTTTTGAGATTCGAATGCATTGGTGTATGTTGTAATCCAATGTTCGTGAGAAGATTCCATTAGAGTATTTTGTAATTTATTATAATATTTCGAAATTTCTCGTTTTATCTAAAATATAATAATATTTCTATTATCAAATACTAAAGAATTATGATAATACTTTACGAAATAAATTATAATATAATTTCAAATTTAAATATATATTGTTGTTTCTCAACCTTATTGAATTGGTGGCACAATCTTTTTGGTGGCAATCTGAGAGGCCTGTATCTCATCAAAGAATATACAAATAATATTAGAAAGTATACAAAATTCATTATTTCTAAAGGATTTGTTGAAATTTTATAACATATCTACGAGGATTTCGTGCAAAACTAGTGTACTGCAATACACTTATTGAGAACCACTACTATGTACAGTATGGTTCAAATTTCAATGGGGTGCACTAATAGAATCTACGTCATACATTGAATTACTGTTTGTTCTTTCTCGTTTGTAAACACAATAAAAGCACTTAATAAATTGCAATTTATTAACTTAACACTTGAATTAAATTGATTTACAAAGATAAGAAGTTTTATCTAAAACACGTAAATATGAAATGTAATACTATTTTTTTAAATGCAGTAATATTATAAATGGACTGGCCAGAACTTTTCAGGTTTTTACGTGTCCAATACCTAAATAGAGGCCAGTTTTCCATAGATGGTTAGTCCTTCTGGGAGGTAATTTTTTTATGCTCAATCCTCCAAGTGTTGTGTTGCCTTTTACTAATCCAGTCCGTATTTGAAATCCTATTATCAGCTTCTGTAAATGCTGATCAGTTCCTATCAGTCTTGATTTTGTTTGTACGTTTTGAATTAATAGCCCTCAGTTACAATAATTTTGGAGGGAGCAAGGATTGATCTTGACATAGCTCTTGTTAGGCTGCAATTTTCAAATTGCAGACCTATAGATTTCTACTGATGTCTGTCTGTTGCATGTCTGTCCTTCCTTAATCTCTATAACAGAGTTAGATAAATAAAAATCGAGATAGGTAGGGAAATTATAGAAGGAGACCCCGACTAACTATATACAATTATTCGGTATGAACCAGATATTTGTATATAATCACTTGATTTCAATTCAAAAATTTTCTCCAGAACGGTGTTAGATAGATAGCAGGCATGACTCCATTATTAACGGGAAAAGTATGATGTACAAGAGCAATATACCATAAAATCGAGGACATTGTGACATATCTTTATTTCCAATTCAGTTGAGTATCAACTGAATTGGAAATAAAGATATGAAGGAATGCCAAGTAATCGATTAATTACAGTGTTTAAGAAACAAATAAGAATAACGACACGATTTCAGATTAGCAATTCAAATTTACTGTATTTTAAATTTGAAAAACTTAAATTTTCTTACTTTATCGTACGTTCCGGGTAGTTGATATACCGATACGTGATATTTCTTCATGGCTTCTAATTGGGCTTTCGGAACTGGAATCAGCGGAAGTGGAGCCAAAAGTCTAAACATGGTGTGTTGCACCCAGTCATTTGGTTTTATTCTTCGACTTGGTTTTGGTTTATCTAACATTATTAATTAAATTGTGTATAATGATAATTTTAAATACTGTATATATTTAATTTTTCTATTATATCGGGTGATCGTAATTACCATACCCCTATTCAACGTAATGTAGATAAATATTTAACAATTCAAACACAAGCAAATTTGGTAAGATGACTTTTGTAAGATTAAAATTAATACCGAAGCTTACCACTATGGTACTTTAAAGCTTTACATCATAATTTCTGTAACATTTTGTTATAAGGACCCTTAATAAGTGTGGTTTATTATTGACATGCTGCAAACTTAGCAGAATTAAAGGACATATTAAATGTGAGAAACACCACAGGGTTCATTGCCTTCAAGTTTTACGCTTTTAGAATGAAGATCTTCATACATATACAGCATAAGTATCTTAAACAAATAAAGTATTTGTTATTTGCAGCTCCAAAAATGCTACAGTGGAGATTTTTGGTACTAATTTTTGTTACGGAAATGTCTTTTGCATATTTTGAAATGTCACCATACCAAATTTATTTGGATTTGTCTTGAATAGGGGTTAGGGGTACTATCATTTGGTATTTTTATTGTTTAGGGTACTTCAATTTAGAGGAAAACAAATAATGGCACTAAATCAAAGGTGCGATTGTACATTAATAATTACTCTTGCGGTTGCATTTTCATTACAAAATTATTTTTATATTGATTATATATGTAAATTATTTTAAAATTGAACACTTCTTTACCTTTGTAAGTCCTATTAACAATTTTATCAATTAAATTGCATGTGTCTTCTGCATCAGAATCTCTTCTCACAACAGCCTGGGATAAAACGTAAATTAGTTTAATTAACATAATCGTAAAAACATTGTAATATAACGTTTAAACATAAAATATAACTCTTTGTAGGTACTGTACATCATGGATACAAGACAGATTTTTTTTTCTCTTATATAAATTAATCAAAAGCCCATATTGAATACTTTTAGTGTCAACAGATAAATGTTCCACTCCTTTGCAATATAATCAGATTTAAAACTTTTCAAACAGATGTTGGGAAGAATATTATGTTCTACAAACAACGAAAATGTTCGAAAGGATCTATATTTACTTCTTTTCGTCGTTTATAACTTTTTTCTTCTTTGATGCAAATAGGACTTGGTATATTTCCTAAAAATTTATCTTTTCTGATTGCTTCCTTTCTTTTCCTCTGTAAATAAACCAGAGGAGGTTCAGAAGGCACGGGCGGTATATCAGTGTATGGAGATAGAATCTTTTTTTTCCATTTAGCTATTTCTTCTATCATTTCCAATTCTCTTTTACGCGCTAATCTAGGAGGCAATCCTGTAAAAAATAACATCAACATATATATATATAAAATAGTTATTCAAGAAAAGTTTTGATATACAAGATGGCTCAAAAGTCGTTTTACCATTGTTAAAGTCTAATTTTCTGGTGATGAATTAAGCAACGCTACACAGCGGAGGTGCCTCTCATGAGGACTTTTATGAGAAACAAGCTGATATTTAGATGTTAGAAACATAAAGAAAATTCGGCAAATTCCACATAGATCAGGCGCTAACCCACAACTAACTACCAGTGTTTAGAGACCTACCAGTGGCCATGCGGTTTTATTCCCTAAATACTGGGAGTTCGGGCGTGGGTTCGCGAGGAGAGTTTTCCGGTTTCTTACACATCTGAGACGCCTGAATAGGGGCCAGTTACCCTCAAAAGACCTCCGGAAGGCATTATTCCCCGCGTAATAATTATTATAAACACATACAACTATTATTACATGACAATTACGTATTACGGTACAATGTAGCATAGAAACTCGTGCCCAACTATCCGACACAAGACACTGTTCAGTGATTTTATCTACTCGGCGACTATTGGGCTACAAATTTGTCCTATTCATTGCTTATAAACTTTACAAAAACAGTTCAATATGAGATCCTTCTTATTTGATATTACAAATTACAATGCTCTATCAACATACAAATTTCTGAGTTACTTCTGATAAATAAGGTTAACTAACTTTTTGGCTATCCCTTTTACGGAATTACCTTTGAGCCTTACCTTTGAGAACTGTTGTTTTCTTTTTTGAGATTCGAATGCATTGGTGTATGTTGTAATCCAATGTTCGTGAGAAGATTCCATTAGAGTATTTTGTAATTTATTATAATATTTCGAAATTTCTCGTTTTATCTAAAATATAATAATATTTCTATTATCAAATACTAAAGAATTATGATAATACTTTACGAAATAAATTATAATATAATTTCAAATTTAAGTATATATTGTTGTTTCTCAACCTTATTGAATTGGTGGCACAATCTTTTTGGTGGCAATCTGAGAGGCCTGTATCTCATCAAAGAATATACAAATAATATTAGAAAGTATACAAAATTCATTATTTCTAAAGGATTTGTTGAAATTTTATAACATATCTACGAGGATTTCGTGCAAAACTAGTGTACTGCAATACACTTATTGAGAACCACTACTATGTACAGTATGGTTCAAATTTCAATGGGGTGCACTAATAGAATCTACGTCATACATTGAATTACTGTTTGTTCTTTCTCGTTTGTAAACACAATAAAAGCACTTAATAAATTGCAATTTATTAACTTAACACTTGAATTAAATTGATTTACAAAGATAAGAAGTTTTATCTAAAACACGTAAATATGAAATGTAATACTATTTTTTTAAATGCAGTAATATTATAAATGGACTGGCCAGAACTTTTCAGGTTTTTACGTGTCCAATACCTAAATAGAGGCCAGTTTTCCATAGATGGTTAGTCCTTCTGGGAGGTAATTTTTTTATGCTCAATCCTCCAAGTGTTGTGTTGCCTTTTACTAATCCAGTCCGTATTTGAAATCCTATTATCAGCTTCTGTAAATGCTGATCAGTTCCTATCAGTCTTGATTTTGTTTGTACGTTTTGAATTAATAGCCCTCAGTTACAATAATTTTGGAGGGAGCAAGGATTGATCTTGACATAGCTCTTGTTAGGCTGCAATTTTCAAATTGCAGACCTATAGATTTCTACTGATGTCTGTCTGTTGCATGTCTGTCCTTCCTTAATCTCTATAACAGAGTTAGATAAATAAAAATCGAGATAGGTAGGGAAATTATAGAAGGAGACCCCGACTAACTATATACAATTATTCGGTATGAACCAGATATTTGTATATAATCACTTGATTTCAATTCAAAAATTTTCTCCAGAACGGTGTTAGATAGATAGCAGGCATGACTCCATTATTAACGGGAAAAGTATGATGTACAAGAGCAATATACCATAAAATCGAGAACATTGTGACATATCTTTATTTCCAATTCAGTTGAGTATCAACTGAATTGGAAATAAAGATATGAAGGAATGCCAAGTAATCGATTAATTACAGTGTTTAAGAAACAAATAAGAATAACGACACGATTTCAGATTAGCAATTCAAATTTACTGTATTTTAAATTTGAAAAACTTAAATTTTCTTACTTTATCGTACGTTCCGGGTAGTTGATATACCGATACGTGATATTTCTTCATGGCTTCTAATTGGGCTTTCGGAACTGGAATCAGCGGAAGTGGAGCCAAAAGTCTAAACATGGTGTGTTGCACCCAGTCATTTGGTTTTATTCTTCGACTTGGTTTTGGTTTATCTAACATTATTAATTAAATTGTGTATAATGATAATTTTAAATACTGTATATATTTAATTTTTCTATTATATCGGGTGATCGTAATTACCATACCCCTATTCAACGTAATGTAGATAAATATTTAACAATTCAAACACAAGCAAATTTGGTAAGATGACTTTTGTAAGATTAAAATTAATACCGAAGCTTACCACTATGGTACTTTAAAGCTTTACATCATAATTTCTGTAACATTTTGTTATAAGGACCCTTAATAAGTGTGGTTTATTATTGACATGCTGCAAACTTAGCAGAATTAAAGGACATATTAAATGTGAGAAACACCACAGGGTTCATTGCCTTCAAGTTTTACGCTTTTAGAATGAAGATCTTCATACATATACAGCATAAGTATCTTAAACAAATAAAGTATTTGTTATTTGCAGCGCCAAAAATGCTACAGTGGAGATTTTTGGTACTAATTTTTGTTACGGAAATGTCTTTTGCATATTTTGAAATGTCACCATACCAAATTTATTTGGATTTGTCTTGAATAGGGGTTAGGGGTACTATCATTTGGTATTTTTATTGTTTAGGGTACTTCAATTTAGAGGAAAACAAATAATGGCACTAAATCAAAGGTGCGATTGTACATTAATAATTACTCTTGCGGTTGCATTTTCATTACAAAATTATTTTTATATTGATTATATATGTAAATTATTTTAAAATTGAACACTTCTTTATTTTGTAATTTATTATAATATTTCGAAATTTCTCGTTTTATCTAAAATATAATAATATTTCTATTATCAAATACTAAAGAATTATGATAATACTTTANTATAGGTCGACCCGTTGATGATTTAATTATAATTTTGCTTAATTTTCATTAAAATAAATGTAATTAAAATTAATAATTTGTTAATAACATTTAAGAAGAAAAAAAAGTCACGTACTGTATCGTACTTTTGAGTGCTTACACGACATTTTACTATACTTTAGGAACCAGTAACTGAGATGAAGCACGCTTTACTAGAATTACGCAAATTATGTTAAGAATTTCGAAAATGGAATTCAACACACCGAATGAATTCAATATAATTATGATAACGTGTTTCAACAGTGCATATAAATCTCTACATTTATTAGGATGACTGTGTTCAGTTTTCTCTCCCCTTATTCTCTAGGTTTGGTTTGCCTTAATTAAAACAAAATTGAGAAATAGTTGTGGTATTTATATATATGTAAATTATTTTAAAATTGAACACTTCTTTACCTTTGTAAGTCCTATTAACAATTTTATCAATTAAATTGCATGTGTCTTCTGCATCTGAATCTCTTCTCACAACAGCCTGGGATAAAACGTAAATTAATTTAATTAACATAATCGTAAAAACATTGTAATATAACGTTTAAACATAAAATATAACTCTTTGTAGGTACTGTACATCATGGATACAAGACAGATTTTTTTTTCTCTTATATAAATTAATCAAAAGCCCATATTGAATACTTTTAGTGTCAACAGATAAATGTTCCACTCCTTTGCAATATAATCAGATTTAAAACTTTTCAAACAGATGTTGGGAAGAATATTATGTTCTACAAACAACGAAAATGTTCGAAAGGATCTATATTTACTTCTTTTCGTCGTTTATAACTTTTTTCTTCTTTGATGCAAATAGGACTTGGTATATTTCCTAAAAATTTATCTTTTCTGATTGCTTCCTTTCTTTTCCTCTGTAAATAAACCAGAGGAGGTTCAGAAGGCACGGGCGGTATATCAGTGTATGGAGATAGAATCTTTTTTTTCCATTTAGCTATTTCTTCTATCATTTCCAATTCTCTTTTACGCGCTAATCTAGGAGGCAATCCTGTAAAAAATAACATCAACATCTCTTATATATTTTATTTTTCAATGTTTATTTTTATTTTTATTCTAAAAGTTTTGATTTACTTGCCTTGCATTCTTTGACAAATAAGAAACTGATGAAGAGGGTGAGAACTATATTTTGTTTTTAATCTGTGATATATCGGTTCGATAGGATACTCTGGAAACATGGCTAAAGAGGTAATAGTATAAAATAATAATTGCCTCTTTGTATAAGTTTCGTGCATTTGGTTTTTACGTAGTTCTGCATCTGTAATTGCCATTAAAACGTTAAGAATTTCCTTATTTAATCAGTGTATAATTAAATATATATATATAATTTTTAATATTCTAGATAGTGTTTTCTAACATTTTTGAATTGATCACCAAATTTTTCACGTAGCCCACCAGTGGCGAGTGGATAACACCCCTGAACACAGGCATGTTCGTGTCTCATTAATGGGCTGGCTTTGTGAAGTATTCAGCGTATCAAACAACTAAATAGGGTCAGAGCGGCGCGTTATAAATTCATGGAGCCCCAGGCAAATTTGAATTAGGAGGCCCCATGTACAGTGTTGACTTCAAACATTTTTATTCGGGAAATTTTGTTGGATCTTCGTTCGTTTTTTTTAATGCGACCTCTGCGTTGTACCAATGCACCATGCACCATGCACCTGTGCTACACCAGCAATCTAGGTTTCCCAGAAATGGCCCAAATTTAAATTTCGATATTCTTAGTACAGTAATAAGTTTATAAAAGATTGGTTTGGGAGGTAATTGCCCTTTATGCCCTTAGGATAATGCACCACTTTATGGTCAGTTTCTCATAGAAAACCCTTCCAGAGAATCTTCCTTCACAAAACGCTCACATGTCGCGTTGCCCTATCTCCTCAGTTTCCAGTGAAAGATCACAGTAGTATGAAGAAGTAAAGATATTTTCTGCGTTCTCATTCCGCTAACAATAAGCATTTTAATCATGGCCTTTATGACTTCAGCTAGGTCCACATGAGGCTATCGAGCGATAAGAAACAGGGCCTGATATATCCAGACTAACCCATCTGTTATCATTTTTAAATCGATCATCAAGAGCAACAGGTCGATTTTTGTTTCCACGTCCCTCAGGTCATCCATTAGAAGAGGATCACAATTTATCGGTTGGGAAACCTTGTTTTCTGATCTATACAATCTACTTACCATGCTTTAATCTTTGTAAATAATCATTAGTATTACAAAGAGCAAATAGCAAGTGATAAAAGTCGATTCTTTTATGTTCTTTATGAAATTCTTTAATAACACATTCAACTTCTTCCAAAGTAAGTGCAATATCCAGATTCTTCAACATTCCAAATATTTGTACAGCCAACACGTTTTTTGTTACTGCTAAGAATTTGAACAGTGCAAAAAATATTTTCAACTGAAAATATACACAATAGAAATTGTTTTAAGATACCGTAATTTAATCATTTTTACTTGGAGTAGTCCAAAAGTCAGTCAACCAACTTGTATTTTTAAGAACAGCTGAAGTCGATTTAAAACAGCTGCACATTATCTTGTAATAAATATATCTTGGTTAACAGACTTTTAGGCTATTTTATATACTATAATAAAAAGAGATTTTATAATTTTGATAGAATTTTTTTTTATAAATAATATTTCTGTACAACAAGAACAAACTAATATATGTAAAGCCGGGTACATAAAAACTGGTATACCTTACAGATATACCTAAACGTGTGGATGAAAGAACTTGACACTCCTGTTAACAGTACGTTCAGGTATACTGAACAGGAGAGCCTACTCAGGTATACCGGTACGTGTGTATTCGGCTGAAGAATATGAACTTTTTAACTTAATGAGGTATTACTATATTTATTCAATCACAATACCTGATATCTGCTTAATTTAATAAACCATTTAGGATTAATTTCATTTTCTAAAGATTCTCGTATAAATCTGTCCGCCATACCTCCTCTTAAAGAAGTGTTCATTCCTTAAAAATATACCAGATTATCATTGAGTGTTTCGATGGATCAATTATGATTAAAGATCCAAATTAAGATATAATTTTACAGTTTTTAAAATTATATAAAGTAATACCAATTAAAAATACCTTTATGAACTTTTGGTGGAAAAATCATAGGTATATAATCAGAAGGATTAAGGCTTTCTTTCGAGTTAGTAGTTTTTGAACTACTAAACCCAGATTGCTTCTCCTTTGATTCGTTTGTGGAAGAAATTTTAGGCAATTTTACATCTGAAATTTTACTAGAATCTGTTGTCGTCAAATATTCTTCAGCTGAAAAATATCCTTCGAAATAATTTTGTTCTGAATCCAGTGCTGAATAAAACTCAGTATGCTCTTCGTCTTCACTGTAATCTGTTCAATAACCATTAAATTATTAGTACTTTCAATTTAATGAGATGAATTAGGATAATTTCAAAATATGCTCAAAGGATACCTTGACTTCTTTCTTTTGCATATTCTTGTGTATTTAAATCTAACTCATCTACATCTTTATAAGTTTCGAAATCTTTGTCTGGATCAGAATCCAAAGCTGTTGCTCCTTGATCTTCCGAGATTTCTTCAGAATGTAGATTTTTCTAAGATTTAAAAATAGTTTTTTTTTTTAATAGAAATAATTTTTGGATATTTTTCATATCTTTACTGCATTAAAATGCTAATTTTCCACGTAAAAAAATAAATTATTTTCTTTGCAACTTATATATTTCATCGAGGCATTTGGCATCGAACTTGCAACCAACACTAAGTACAATGGCGCGTTAAGCTTTATGGGTCCAGGCGAATTTAAATCAGGAGGCCCCATGTACGGTGTTGACATTAAACGTTTTACTTCTGGGCAATTTTGGGGGGAATCCCCCTAAAATTACCCAGAAGAAAAACCTCTTGTGGATTAAGTTCTGCACTCTACCTGACTATACCTGCAATCTAGGTCCCCAAATATGGCATAAAATTTACATTTCGATATTCTTACTACAATAATGAGTTTATAAAAGTTTGGTTTATGTACCCTGTTGGGGACCTCAGGCAATTGGTCTTTTTGCTCTTAGGATAAAGCGCCACTGACTATGTAATGAATGGCCCATCAATGGCGAAGCGGTTCCATTCCCTAAACACTGGGAGTTTGGTGGTGAGTTCACACCTCGCCAGGGCGAGCTGGCCGCATGGAGTTTTCCGAGTTTTCTCCACGTCTGTAATACCTGAATAGAGATTAGTTACCTTTAAAAAGTCCTCCCGGAAGGCATTCCCCTAGGCAAATCGCCCAAGCGTTGCATTACCATAACTTAATAATAAACTAAGTAATGAATATTGCATTGAACATTTACAATCAATACTAATTGATTGCAAATGTTGAATGATGATGCTTGTGAGCACTAACATGGCCTTTTTATCAAGTNTGAAATATGTTAAAATATTTAAACATAAATAATATCTGTAATGTAAATAAATAGAGCTCATAAATAAAACAATTTTAAATAAACATTGATTTTTTTATGTTTTACAGAACTGTAAACATAACTAATCTTCAAATTATATGCTTCTTACAGTATAAAATTACATGCTATAAATAAAATTTATCTTAAATTTATAGTGATGGGATTTGTTAACATATAGTAATAACAAAATGCCGAGATTGAATTTTAATTGTATCGTGAATAAGTTTGATCGAAATTTAATTAATTATTAAAAAATTTTCATAAGAATAGAAGTGAATGGAACAGCATTGAGTATTATTAATAATCTGACACTGTGGGTGTCCATGGAAAATTTTCCAGGGGTGGCAAAGCTTGAAGGTAATTACGTCAATAAGTTTTTAATTATTTAATTTTTTGGTTTTTTTTTCCATAAGTAGATAATCGAATACAGTATTGTATCAAAGCATTCCATGGCCGAGAGTGTAAAGTTGTACAGTACATCTCAATCACTTTTATGATTATAATTTATAGAAATTTTTACTGGATCCCAGAGTAGGAAAGTGTCTCGTCTTCCCTTTCTGCAGATGTCCATGCTTGGCACTTACAAATATAATTCTCAAGAATTGTTAAATGATATTAAATGATATAAATGTTCTCTTTTCCAGAAACACATTAAATTTTCTTTTCATTTCAGAATGTAAACATGAAAAGTGATACCACATTGCTTATAGCTTATCATGGTTAATATATAACAATAGTTTCTATTTTGAATATTTTTGTATAACATTATTCACGATTTCGAAGAATATTTAAAATAAATAAATAATCTATTTAATTTATTTACTACTAGATGGCGCGACATTGCGCTGTATTTCATTATACAGTGTATTCTCAATGTAGTGTTTGTTTATATACAGCAAAGTGGTAAGTGGGCGATCTTCCGAGGAAAATGTCTCGAGCAGTACTTTATATGGCACTTATTTAGGTAAGAAAGCCCAGAAAATCTCGTTGATAAGGTGTCAACCCACGATTACCAGTGTTTAGTGGTTTTATCCATTCCACCGCTGGTGGGCATCGATGTAATGACCTCTCAAAGGACGCTGGCATTCACAATATCAATGGTTCCTTACACGAATAACAAGTAGTAAAGAGTAGCAATTCACAATATCAAGAGATTGCTGTTTATTGAATTTAGAATGACATTTCATAATTTTATTATTCACACTTTAAAGCATATTTATATTTGGACTGTCGCCTAATAGGTTCTTCCTGGTATTAGGCGACAGTCAAAAGTAAATAAATTATTTTATAACAAGTAAATATATATATAAAAACGAGACGTTCGACACGTTGAACAGGTTAATGCTAATGAATATGTTAATAATGAACAAGATAAAAATTCACGTGCAGTCTGTAACCGTGCGAAAATCAATTGGGCAAGGGCGTATTTAAAATTTTGAAAAATAGATGCTGTTTTACATACATACTTTATTTTTATTTATACTTGATGTGATCCTTAAAAAAACATGATGAGATCATGATTCTGATAGTACTATTATACACACTTCCTGAATACGCCCTTGATAGTTGATTGATTAATTAGAATGAGGCACTAGCACATTGTAGGCTGTGTAGTCTGCCTAATTACGCCCATTGCGGGCAGCCTGCTCAAATGATAATCAACACTATGACGACCTGACCGTCAATAAAGGTTAGATCTGCTAATTCCCAACATCATAGAGTACAATGCCATAATTTATTTGATTTATTTGGTTACAATAACGCAACTGGTGTGCGATCTGCTGAGAGAGGATGACTCCCAGAAGGACTTTGTAAGAGAAGCTGGCTCCTATTTAGGTATTGCAAACGTGTAAAAAACCCGGAAAAATCTACATGCCCAGTCTGTTGGAGAAGGAGTATTCAGTGGTTTTATCCACTCGGCCGTTGGTGGGTTAAATATTTAAATAAATTCAAGAATTTTAAAGGAAATATTTTAATATTTGTGGGTGGTGATGAAGTAATGTTTAACTTCTTGAATTTTTATTAGCTCACGTACAGTTCTACAGACGTGCTTTTATCGATAAAATTGTAATTAAAATATCATATATCCAAAACGAATTAAATTGTATTCTATATTGCGTAATGAAGAATTTATTTTTAAAATTTCTTTTATGTTGATAACCATTTGCAGTTCATGAAGTTAAATATACAGAAAGAAAATCTGTGTATTTAAATTAACTCAATTAATTAAACTTTTAGATCTCCGGAGCCTTGCAAAGGGATCAAAGATCCTGGAGCTAGACCCTTTCATCTGTTCTCAGTTTATTACATTTTTCCTTCCTGTATGCACTTGAATTTACATAAATCGACCTTCTAGACTTTATAATTAATTTTTAACACATATTTTGGACATTTAAAATAATAAATTGGTTCCTAAATTAATATTTGATTTAGTTAATATGTAAATTTTAATGCTTACATACAAAAAATGGAGGTTATTTATATCATATAATGTAATTCTTATAAGCTCATACATTTATATTGTCCTTAGAAAACTACTTTAATACTTTAATATATCAATTTAAAAGATAAATTAAAGCTATTAAATGTGAGAAGTGAAATAAATATTAAATTAAAACTACCACATCTAAAATCAATTCGGAGAATTAAAATCAAAAATAAAATTGAAACTATGCCCTTGATTATGAAAGAATATTTAAATTAATAGAAACGAAAAGGAAATCGTGTCTCATATTTATCATTTAAAATAATTTCCCTGTTAAAAACAAAATGTAAATGTATGATGTGAATGAATAATGAATGTTATAAAGTATATACGTGAATAACTTATTAATTAAGCAAGTTTTATACTTGAGGTTTTCTACATTTGTAATAGCTATAATTCAAAAATAAATGCTTATTTTGCATTTATTTTTGAATTATACGTCACAACAACAGGCATGCACGTGGAGTTTCTCGGCTCTTCACGTTTGCAATACCCACATAGGGACTATTTTCCCTTAGAAACTCCCCCGGGGAAATATTCTCTATCAGTAGATCACCCATAAGTTGCATTACCATATACGAACGAACTCGATATTTTTCTTTAAATAAATACAAATATAATTCTCAAGAATTGTTAAATGATATTAAATGATATAAGTGTTCTCTTTTCCAAAAACACATTAAATTTTCTTTTCATTTCAGAATGTAAACATGCAAAGTGATACCACATTGCTTATAGCTTATCATGGTTAATATGAGTCGAGGTATCCATCTCCAGCCATGATCCTATTGCATTTCAAGGCGGTTCTTAATAGGAGTAGCTGTATCCTCCATGGTGATTCACATTAGCGACGTTGCAGTTGAAGTTTTCATCTCTAAAACTTGAACGTCGAACGTCGAGAGCTTCTATCTTGTGTTTCATCTTAACAGTTAACACACAAAGATATGAAGACTAAATAAGATATGAATACATTCAGTAACTATGCTAAAATATTGCAAATTACCCAAAAGCTATTCGTACGAACATACCAATTACAAGAAGAACAGCATTGTTTATATAGACTGAACAGTTAATGGACATTTATAATTGTTATAGGATCACGTTTGTTTTTAAATGCTCCAATAACAATGGAAATAGATAATAACGACCTAATTTTCTTTGCAAAGCCTGGAATATATTGATCTAGTGTTAATATATTACGAATAAATATAAAATGGATTTTTTATCAAATAAATAAATATACAGTCGACCCCCTATAACACTGTTGATTATTCCATTTTATATGAATTCCATGTTGTACGAGTCACTTAGATTTTACAAATATGTGGCCGGGCTGTGAACGGCTCACGTATTTGTAAAATCTAAGTGACTCGTACAACATGAAATTCATATAAAACGGAATAATCAACAGTGTTATAGGGGGTCGACTGTAATAATCGAATTACAGAAGCACAAAAAAAAAAATAATTCTTTATTTTTACTCTTTCCTTCCTCTGCACTGAAAGGTCCTTTTTTCTATAATTTTTATAGTTCTGTCAGGCCCACGATGAGGGCGATCGAATAGTACAGGAGCCCGACATATCTGGGACAGACCGCCCTAGGTGTTCGCAATTCATCTGTATCTCTTGACATTTTCAAGCATAAACTTGACAAATGTATTGGAAATATCTAACGTGTTTGACAGATTTAAAGAAGTAGCAAATTTCAACTTAATAGTTAAGTAAAAAATCCCATTCCTATTTCATATCACATTACAGCTATATGCCTAGGCTAAATATAATAGATCTTGCTTAATTATCGTTTTCTTTACAATTATCGTTTATTGATAGATACAACTTTGCTATTTTGATTATATGAAACGTAGTATTTATGTATGAGGTTTTGTTTTGCTTGTATACGGTAACGCTACACGTGGACGATCTGTATGGAGGAATACCTCCCAGGAGGACTTCCTACGGGAAACTGGCACTTATTTGGGTGTTACAAACGTAAAGAAAAGCCAGAAAACTCCACGTGGACAGGCGCAAACCCACGACTAACTACCAGTGTTCAGTGGTCTTATCTACTCGACTACTGGTGGATACTAGGTGTGACGTAATTTTAAACATTTCTCTATAGTTTTACAAAGTTTAAATTGTATAAAAGTAGAAAAATTATCTCATTTTATAACACTGATCTTATGGGAAATAGATTGGCTCGCTTTACGACGATTTTTCAGGTATCAATTAAATCGTAGAAATTAGAGTTGCTATAATTTGACATATATTATCTACAGCCATGAAGAATTTGGGTTTGTATCTTAATTAGATCTTCAGAAATGTATTATGGACAACACGAATCAGATAATAATTCCCCGTCTTCAATCACTGTAATGAATTGTGGGCGGTTATATAATTTATTATATGCTGGTACTTGACATTAATTAATAAAGTAAATGAAAGAATTATAGATTTTTATATAGTTTAGAAATCCTGTGGCTTAAATTACTTCATCTAAGGATTATATCGTAGCTTATCTAAAGACACACCCCTCGTTAATTATTAATAAGTTTCTTCCAAGTCACTCTTCCTTCTTCTTTCCTTCTAAATTTCCTACGATGTTTACAAGACTTGAGAGAAGACTTATTTGGAATATGTCCTACTGAAAAATAAATTCTAAATAAATCATACATAATTATAATGATGCATGAAGCATTCAGTACAAAAGTCATTAAATTTCTATAAATAATTTGTTTATCCATGTTAAATGAACCATTGAAAACCCTGACGATTCTTATAACAGAAGAATGAAGGAACTGAAAAAATCATCATCATAATCCGATATGTATTTAAACCTGGAATTTTCATGGGTAGAAGATCTTTAAAATTGATGAACAACTGGCTTAACAGCATGGCTCAAAAGCTGCTCCGATTAAAACTATATATTTATTGTGCCACACCTTATAAGGATTAATCCCACACTTAAAATGATTCCGTCGTTTTATCTCCAGTGACTTATTTCGAGTTATTTATATAGCAACACGAACGTGTCGAAAGATGTCACTTGATACGAAATTATCCGGTGAGATCATCAGCCTCCTCGGTGAATATAGAGATTTAATTATAGTAATTATGTATATATAAATCTATTTCTGTTTATTCTTTAATTAAAATAAGTTATAGTCTACATTCTATTTGCAAACACAGTAAATACAGTCGACCCCCCATAACACTGTTGATTATTCCGTTTTATTTGAATTCCATGTTGTACGAGTCACTTAGATTTTACAAATACATGTGCCGGGCTGTGAACAGCTCACGTATTTGTAAAATCTAAGCGACTCGTACAACATGGAATTCAAATAAAACGGTATAATCAACAGTGTTATAGGAGGGTCGACTTGTATACATAATATACACAGGGTAGGTCAAAAGTAACCGTGTTTATTACAAGCAATTCAGCAATTTATGTGTGTCAAAGCATTGTAATTTGTGTACTGAACTAGAAATTTTTTTTTATTTTGAACAACTTTCACATAGTTCGAGTGAAAAAGTATTTGAATAGGATAGTTATATAGCTTTTACAGTAGTTAACACATTTTTGGGCCAGCGCGCCACACAAACACGCACAAAATATGACATATAAATTTATAATTACGGCTAAGTTTTTCAATTTTAAAATGTCAAATTTATCAAAAGTTTCCTGTTTTTCCCGTTTCCTTAAAAACGTAAATTTCCTGTACAAAACTGTTACTATAAAGGACATTTTTTTTCACGCTTAGGATGAGTTTATTCATCGACCGTTTAGTTAAAACTCCGGTTTACGACGGTTTTATAGAAACCTGCTACGTCGGTAAAACCGAAGAGATACCGTAATTTAAAATAGCCATTTTAATTCTGTTACATAACTGATAATATGTGCTATAACATTATTTAAATAATCATAAGAGAACATTTATACCAGTTGTAAAAGGGTGTTACATTACTAGAGGTCGTAAATCGGGGTTTACTTTTTATAGTCTAGTAACCGAATTATTTAATTTTTGAAAAAAATTGTCGCTCGGATATTTATTTACCATATTTCTAAGTTTAATTATAATAAAACAAGACACAGCTTCTGCACAAAGCACATAACACCTCAAGAGCACACTTATGCGTGTGCATATAATATTGAGCGGGTTAATATAAGTGAGAAGAAAGCAATTGTTTGTTTATTCGGTTAAAAGATGTTTACTTATATACTACTTAACATCAATAGAGAGTTATAGCTTCACGGTCCCAGGCAAATTTGAATTAGGGAGCCCCCATATATAGTGTTGACTTCAGACATTTTTCTTCGGGGAAATATTTTCTTATAAAAGATTGTTTTGCCAAATCAATCTTCATGTCCATAGGATAATACACCACTACATCTTACGTATGATTTATAAGCGAGTGCATAAGACAAACCTTTTGTATGGACACCTTTGGTTTAGTGCGTAATAAGAAAATTGGTGTAGTAAACAACTATTCGATTTTTAAAAATGTTTTAAAAATTTTACAGCTATTTTTACGATATTTTTGTAGAATTATTAAGCAATTAAACATAAAAAAATATCGAATTTGATGATATACAGTAAGAACCCCGCTTTACGACTGCCCGCTTCAATCCGTGACTGTACTGTACTTATTAAATACGATTAAGGAAATAATTTTGTGTGACTTATCGGTTCATTTAGTCGAGAGTTTGCGTGTGCGAACTACAAAGCATAACATCCAAATAAGGAATATTACGTTTTCTCACTGTCCTATTTGATATATATCAAGTCAACGACCCGATGTACTTTTTTTTTTTTTTTACTTTTACGGACAGTCATATTCGATCGGTTAAGGCGCATTTCTTCATTGCTCCTATTATAAATTTAAATTACTTAAAAATAAATGTATTATTAAAAATAGAAAATCGACAATATTTGATAGAAATTATAAGTAAAAACAAACACTGGAAATAAATTTTAAAAGATAGAAAGATTGAGAAATTTCAAATATTTTCTTCCTCTCTCTATCTTTTCTAATAAACGATTTAAATTATTCCTAATAAATTAACTTTCATCCTATTCGCATTTTCTATGTATTTTATTAAATTACCGAACATTCTATCCATTAATATAATTACATTTTAAACATTACGAATTTATTTTCATTATTTTTTCTTTTTTTATTACGTAAAAAGCATCGGCTTGAGAGTTACATAAAATTTCGAAGTGACTGGGAACGAGTATATTTATTTGAGTAGCAGACGATAGAGGTAAATCGACCAATCAGATGGCTGGATTTGCCGGCCGACATTTGGCGGTTTGCCATTATCTAGTGGAGAAGGTGTAAGGGAAACATCATGGATACTAACATTTGGAGTGAATATAACGAGAATGTTTTGAGGTGTAAATATCCCTTACATCGCTGTTGTAGGGACGGTGACGTAGAAATGATAGAATATTTAATTACTTGCGTTCGTTATTCCGTACAAACCGAAGATTGTTTTCACAGTTGGACTCCTTTCCATTGGGCATGTCGTTTCGGTAAAGTAAGTTCAAATTTTTGAATATTTTATGATTTTATCGCATATTCGACCGTTATATAACGCTATTATATCGATTGGTGACGTATCGGTGACGTATTAGTGACGTTTTAGTGAAACAAAACAGTGGTTACCATTTGTGACGTGTTATCGAAATAAAACAATGGTGACCATTAGTGACGTGTTACTGAAACAGAATGGCCACTTTAATGACGTATTATTGATGTGTTAATAAAACAAAGCGATGGTAACTATTAGTGACGTATTAGTGACGTGATAATTACTGGAACAAACAATGGTTACCATTAGTGACGTGTTACTGAAACAAAACAATGGTGCATGTGTGTATAATACACCACAGTAAAATACACCTACGAACACATCTATTTATACATTTATGCTCCATTTTCTCAAATAATAAACGATAAAGCACACGAGTTTGACGTATTTCCTGTGTTAAAACAGTACAAATAACTGTTTCCACTCCAAAATTAAATATCAGACTCGTATAAACATACAAACTATTCGGTAAAATAAGTTAAATTTTATTTAATTTTTCAGGAGTTACATTAAAAAATACGCTCAAACGAAACGATTTTAACGTTGTTTCGTCGAATAAATGCGGTGTATTTACGTATAAAAAGGACGAAAATAAATTATCTGACGGAAAAATAATAAGACGAGTGAGAAAAATAAGTATCTTAAAATATCTGTTACGAATGTAACTATTTTCTCAATGGAAATTTCCACTGTGGCCTTCAATAGAGGTAGTTGAATTACACGTTTAACGTAGGTGTTGTTGCTATGCGCTAAACACGTGTCTTTATACTTTGACATATAAATAAACAATATTTAGGAAATACTTTATATATTATTCTAAAAAATTTAATGGTGTGTAAAAAACTTTCATGCTTACAAAACTTTTTTAAGTTCAAATAAATAAAATAAAATAAAAAGGATAGAGAAATTTCAAGTCAGGATTATAAATGAATAATTTCTGGATAAAACTAATGTAAAAAAAATGCAAATTAATAAAAAATTAGCAAAAAATTTTTCCAGATTTTTTGTTTTGTTCCTTTAAATAAGTTATGAGAAACTTTTTTTTATATATTTATAATTTTCTGATCATTTTAAAGTATAAATTCTAAATAAATTATAGTTCATAAAAATTAAATTTACAGTACAAGCAATGGTACTTTATGCACCTTTCCGCCAGCCACCAGGCATTACAAAATCAAAAGTGCAGTCTGCGTTTTAAATTCTTAGATTTGATTTAATGAAAATCGGTAAAAAGAACATGCCGATAAAACCAAAAATCCAATAGTTTATAATCTTGGACTTTAACATTAAAAACAAAATTAATTAATTAATTATCTTCTAAGATTAATGCAGGAAAGTAATTAATTAAAATTATTTTTATAATGTTAATCTTATATATTAATAAAAAATGTAATTATTTTAAGTTTCAAGCAAATATAAAAAAAAATCTGATAAAAAAAATATGTTCTTGAAATATGTTAAAATATTTAAACATAAATAATATCTGTAATGTAAATAAATAGAGCTCATAAATAAAACAATTTTAAATAAACATTGATTTTTTTATGTTTTACAGAACTGTAAACATAACTAATCTTCAAATTATATGCTTCTTACAGTATAAAATTACATGCTATAAATAAAATTTATCTTAAATTTATAGTGATGGGATTTGTTAACATATAGTAATAACAAAATGCCGAGATTGAATTTTAATTGTATCGTGAATAAGTTTGATCGAAATTTAATTAATTATTAAAAAATTTTCATAAGAATAGAAGTGAATGGAACAGCATTGAGTATTATTAATAATCTGACACTGTGGGTGTCCATGGAAAATTTTCCAGGGGTGGCAAAGCTTGAAGGTAATTACGTCAATAAGTTTTTAATTATTTAATTTTTTGGTTTTTTTTTCCATAAGTAGATAATCGAATACAGTATTGTATCAAAGCATTCCATGGCCGAGAGTGTAAAGTTGTACAGTACATCTCAATCACTTTTATGATTATAATTTATAGAAATTTTTACTGGATCCCAGAGTAGGAAAGTGTCTCGTCTTCCCTTTCTGCAGATGTCCATGCTTGGCACTTAGTTAAATCTTTAATTTTTAATTTTAAATATTATATTTAAATGAATATTGTGGGAAAAATCCTAATAAGTTTTATCAATATATGTTTTTAAGATTAGATAAATGTATAGCAGATAATTCAATAGTTAAATTTTTATTATAAATAATATTATTTTTTTATTGCATCTGTTTTCTCAACAAATCCAGTTATTGATTCTGAATATAATGATGATTTTAAGAAAATTTTCTCTAGAAATTCAATATTGAACATAAAATTTGTTAATTGATTTTTATGTTATATAAACGGCTTGCTGTATATTATATTACAATTGTAAATTCGTCTCTGTAATCCAAAAACACACTTTGCTGTAAGATACGTCTACCAAAGTGTTTTTGGATTACAGAGATGAATTTACAATTGTGATTTTTATGTTCTTTTTTTATTATTAATTAAATGATTTTAAGAAGTCAGATCATAAGAAACAAACATCTTTTTTTATCCAAAGTATAATTATAATTTTCCAAATATACTTTAGTTTTGCTCAGCTTTTCTAAGAAAAGTTTGTGGTACAATGTTTGTTTGAATGTTGTTAGTAGAATATTATCTTTCTGCAGTTTCTTAAAATAAGCACAAAATCAGTCTTAATAAAAGCATACATTACATAATATTAGTTTTAACTTAATTTTTTTCATTTAATTAATTAACCAATAAACAGTTTGCAGAAGTTAGCTAATATTTCTTTTTATTTAGGAGAATATTTTCATTATACAGTCAAATAGTTTAAATATTATCTCTCCATCCTTCTCCTCCTCTTTCAAATCTGTTCATTCTCTTCCACTTCCTCTTTCAACTGTCATTCATAGTTTCCATTTTTTTCTTATTAAAATTTAAATACGACTTTTTTAAAATTGAAAAAATACATTAAAAGATGGATAGTAACTTCTTTCAATGGTAACTTTGTTGTTGTTGTTTTTTTGGACTTATTAATGTTGTAACATTGATTTAGAATTCAGAGTTTTTAAAGTGATATAATTAATGAATTGTCTTTGTTTAAACATAATGATTTTGAAAATTATATATTGAATCTTTGTAACATTCCTTGTGAAATACTGGTTTGAACTTAAAGTATCTAAACTTGATTTACTGTGAATTTGGAGTTTACAGTGGTTAAAATGCTAATTTACACATATATAAAAATCTGGATGAGGTGCGACTCCAACTAGTCTGGATTTTTGGCACTTCACTGTTATATATGTTTTTTGTGTTTTAATAATAATGGCATTGTCTGTTCAGATATTACAATCTTAATAAACTTCCTGAAATATGATCCAATTTCTTTACACTATTATTAGTTTTAATTTAAAGTTTACAATCTATTTATAGTAGAGTAAACATATTCATACAATGAATACGATAAGGAATGCTTATATTTTATCATGCAAATAATAATTTTTCCACTTAAATAAATTCCTACTTGAAATTATAAATAAACCAATAAAAAATTTTGTGCTCATTTTTAAGGCAATTAAACTATTTTAACTTACTTGCTTGGCCTACATTTTTGAATATATATAATTGATTGTATTTTTTAAATCATAACAATAAATTACTACTATTTTTATTTTTTTAGTTGGATTGTCTCGAAACATCATGGATACTAACGTTTGGAGTGAATATAACGAGAATGTTTTGAGGTGTAAATATCCCTTACATCGCTGTTGTAGGGACGGTGACGTAGAAATGATAGAATATNTTTTATGTTCCTTTTTTTATTATTAATTAAATGATTTTAAGAAGTCAGATCATAAGAAACAAACATCTTTTTTTATCCAAAGTATAATTATAATTTTCCAAATATACTTTAGTTTTGCTCAGCTTTTCTAAGAAAAGTTTGTGGTACAATGTTTGTTTGAATGTTGTTAGTAGAATATTATCTTTCTGCAGTTTCTTAAAATAAGCACAAAATCAGTCTTAATAAAAGCATACATTACATAATATTAGTTTTAACTTAATTTTTTTCATTTAATTAATTAACCAATAAACAGTTTGCAGAAGTTAGCTAATATTTCTTTTTATTTAGGAGAATATTTTCATTATACAGTCAAATAGTTTAAATATTATCTCTCCATCCTTCTCCTCCTCTTTCAAATCTGTTCATTCTCTTCCACTTCCTCTTTCAACTGTCATTCATAGTTTCCATTTTTTTCTTATTAAAATTTAAATACGACTTTTTTAAAATTGAAAAAATACATTAAAAGATGGATAGTAACTTCTTTCAATGGTAACTTTGTTGTTGTTGTTTTTTTGGACTTATTAATGTTGTAACATTGATTTAGAATTCAGAGTTTTTAAAGTGATATAATTAATGAATTGTCTTTGTTTAAACATAATGATTTTGAAAATTATATATTGAATCTTTGTAACATTCCTTGTGAAATACTGGTTTGAACTTAAAGTATCTAAACTTGATTTACTGTGAATTTGGAGTTTACAGTGGTTAAAATGCTAATTTACACATATATAAAAATCTGGATGAGGTGCGACTCCAACTAGTCTGGATTTTTGGCACTTCACTGTTATATATGTTTTTTGTGTTTTAATAATAATGGCATTGTCTGTTCAGATATTACAATCTTAATAAACTTCCTGAAATATGATCCAATTTCTTTACACTATTATTAGTTTTAATTTAAAGTTTACAATCTATTTATAGTAGAGTAAACATATTCATACAATGAATACGATAAGGAATGCTTATATTTTATCATGCAAATAATAATTTTTCCACTTAAATAAATTCCTACTTGAAATTATAAATAAACCAATAAAAAATTTTGTGCTCATTTTTAAGGCAATTAAACTATTTTAACTTACTTGCTTGGCCTACATTTTTGAATATATATAATTGATTGTATTTTTTAAATCATAACAATAAATTACTACTATTTTTATTTTTTTAGTTGGATTGTCTCCAGAAATTAGCATCCTATCTTCCTTCTAATACAAGTATTGATATCAAATCCTCAAGAAATTTGCAAACTCCTCTTCATATATCAGCATTAGCATGTCAATCACATTGTTTGCTTTGGTTATTACAGGCTGGTGCTGATGCAAATAATCAGGTACATTATTTGTCATTGTTAATTAATTCTTTATATTAAATTAAATATAAGATAATGTGTATACAAAGAAAATTTTTCTTGATATTGGGTAATGTAATATCATGCATCTAGATTTCTTAATGAAATAAAATACTTGATATTAACCTATAATTGCTAATGATATTGATATCTGATAAATTCACTTACAAATATGGGGTGGGTGTTACAAATCTAACAGGTTTAATCTTTCTTTTTTAAGTTGTATATATATATAATGTTGAGCAAAAAGAATTTCTTTATGCAAAAATTCTTAATGACTTATAGCTAAATACCAACTGAATGCCGAAAATCTATCGGGCTAGTTTAAGGCTAATTACTAAATGAATTACGTAACCAATTTGGCTCTAGATATTCATTTAGTAATTAGCCTTAAACTAGCTTGATAGATTTTCGGCATTCGGTTGGTATTTAGCTATATTATATATCGAGTTTAGCAATGTTTGTATTCTTAATGACTTTTTTATTCTGCCCTATTGAGTGGTTATTACAGTTACATAAATAAAATATTACAAAAATTAAAAAGTTTCAGATAATAATGGGGCATTTTCATTCATAAATTGTAACTAAAAAATAAAAATTAGATATCTGTAAGGCAAGCAAAAAAGCAATTTAAAAAATATTATATTATTTGTTTATGAATATAAATAATAATTTAATATTTAAAAATAATGGTTAAAAATTGAATAATTTTTATTTTTTAACTTTTGGAATATAATTACTTTTATTTTAGGATTCACTGGGAGAAACTGCTTTGCATAAAGCTATTAGAAGTGGAAGCATAGAATGTGCTGCAATTTTATTATTAAAAAATGCTGATATAAGATTTTTCTACTACAAAGACCCAGAATTTCTAGAGGAAAAGTTGCATAATATTAATGATCAGAGTCCTATTGAATTAGCAACAGTATGTGGTAATTCCATTTTAACAGTATTAATGGACAAAATTAATGAATGCATTGCTACAAAAAATTTGACAGATGCAGAAAACATCTTGCAAACTGTGATGAAAAATTTTACTGCTTCATTTGCCGCTTTCTATTCTGTCAGAAATTAAATCGATAAATAATGATATAAATTCAGTAGAAAAAGACTGTTCCAATATGCAGTATGAAATTTCTTCGCAAAATATAAAAAATAGTAGGAAAAGATCATTTACTGAAGATGATTCAGAAATTTCAAAAAGAAAAAAACTAAATGAATCTGAACTTTATTCCAATCCATCAGTGCTTTGTAATAGTACTTCTGGTATACCTTCTGAAGAACCAATGATACCATGTATTGTTCAGCATCAAAGTTCATTTGGAATTCAAATGCTTCATGACATTAATAGACATGTACCTCGTTGTTTCGGTCACTATATTTAAAATACTTTTCAGTATATTATAATGTTAAGAAAGGTAATAATATATATCATTATAAAAAATATATATATTATATCAGTTATTTGCTGAATTCTCATCACATTTCTTTTAATTAAATTTTCTGAATTTTAATGAGTATTTTGATAAATACACACAATTTTTATGTTTTGTATTATTTTGTAACATCAAAAATTATAATAAATTATGAACTTAAAGCAAGTTTAGAATAGTAACAAATAAAAACAAATTTTTACCCTCACAAATTATATTTTAATTATATTCTATTATATATAGATGTTAGTTACTAATTAATATCACAACAAACTAAAATAATATGGATAGAATTAAACTGTGCATAAATATTCATAACATTTTACCACGTTGTAAGGTAATTTTACCATATGATTTACATTTCCAAATAATTTTGCTATATGAACATTTTTTAATAATTATTGCTAATATCAGAAAGAATAACAAGAGCATTCAAACTGTGTATTTTATTAAATATAAAAACAATTTTTAAAAGACAATGTAAAATAATATACACACACATAATGTAATTAAAGCACAAATCTACTGCAAACTGAAATGTAAAGTTTGGATTGTTTTCAGGTTATATTTATGTTCATTAATTAATAAATTAGTGAAATATAACTAAAAATAAATCAAATTTAAGCATATGCTTAACAACTTAAAAATATCTNTATTTTTTTTTTTTCTTGTTAGCAACAGAGTCATGTCGCCATCTGTTCGTTACAGGGAAAATTTTTGAATTGAAATAACATGACATCCAGTTTGCATCAGAAGTTTGTTTATAGTTAATTGGGCCTTCTGCGCCAAATCTTTCCATATATAACCTCGGCTTTCATCTATCTAACTCTGTTCTCGAGATTAAAGGACAGACAACAGTAGGAATTTATAGGTCTACGATTTTTTTAATTGCCCAATCAACAATAAATAACGTTGAGAGTGTGATTGTCGTCCTTTATAGAAAAGAGCCAAGAATCCATAAACTTATTTCAAACAATCAGCAACAAACTTCATGCTAATTTCTTATAATTAAACAAGTAGATTTCGTATTAATAAAGTAAAGTAAAATGAAATGGAACTTTTATGATCATTATTCTATAGATATTTGTATTTAAAAAATTCATGATAGTGATCAACTTTCAAAATTGTTATTTTAGTGGTCTGTAAGGTCAGAAAGCTTGATTACCACTGATGGAAAGAATGAAACATTAATCTCCCATTTATTAAATATTGAAATGTTATTGTGTAAACTTAATTTTGTACACAAATTGTTTTACATTTTATAATTTTTAAATATTTATGTAAGATTTCTAGAAAAGAATTGTAGTATAATTCTAGGAAACAGTTTTATTTTAAACAAACTTTAATAAAAATATAAACATCTTTAGCAAACCCAATACATTACAATTGTACGCCATATTATTATAGCCAATATATAACCCAGTGTCATAGGGCAGTTGTTATAGCTTAAATTTTATTAATTATAATTATATTCTGTATCTTTTTACAAAGAGATATATGAAAATATATTCATTTTCCTCCTGCCTCTGTCATTTAATTTTGATTGATGACAGTGTAAAGCATTAATAAGCTTGATCTAGATGTAATGATTCTTTTGCAGATAAGAAAAAAAATTTCCCACTTTAATTATCATAGACAATTATTTTTACGTAATTCTTTATTATATATCTATTTATATAAGAACTCCTCTATATCTAAATTTAGAATTCCTGAAAGCTGAGCATTTCTCTACTGCTTTCAATCCACCATTTATCCGTCATTCAGAAAGAACCATGAATAAAGAAACTGAAGTGAGGCAGGGTGCATTATTTTTGGAAACAATGCTAGGTTCTATTTGTCTCTTGTCATCAATTCACATGAAAAATCTATTAATAAACTTAAATTAGTATTTCTAATAGTATTTTTGCGAAAAAGAATGTTTAATTGAATAATGAATGTAAAGTGTAAAGTTTTGTGTAAAGAATATTTAAGAATGTTCTTACATTTTGTCAAATTAACAAATCAGTTTGTCAAGTAAAGAAATTCTAACAATTCAAAGTTTATGTTAAATTTAACATTTCACAACATTGCATAACATTACTTAGATTGTAACATGAAATGGTGTTTTTTTTTTTATTGCTATAAATAACTTGATAGTCTAATTCAAAATTTTTGGATTGTTTCTGAAGAAAACCAGACTTTTATCAAATGCTATGTATTAAACTTATAAGTGTGACTTTTATCATTTGATTTAATTCTTAAGGAATCTATTTTGTTATGCAGATTCATCAATACGTAAACTGTATTTTTACAGTCTTTGCAAAATCTCTCTCTCTCTCTCTCTCTAACTTATAAATTGAACTGTGTTAAAAAAAATCATTTCTTTTATCCAAATAAAAATTAAGAACTTCTATAGTTTATAATTGTATGTTTTATAAAATATATTCTACATTACATAAATTTGTTCTGAAAGATTGATAATATTTGAAATTATTCTCAATTAAATACAGTGAAGAATTGAAAATCAAGACTAATTGGGACTAGACCCATTCGGATTTTCAAATATACATGTAAATAAGCATTTTAAATACTGTAAACTCCAAATACACCGTAAATCAAGTTCAAGCCAGTAATTTATAAGAAATGTAGGAATGCTTATAAAGATTCAAAATGTAATTTACAGAATTGTTATATTGAAACAAAAATATGCTAATTATAACCTCAAAATTAAAAAATTCTGCAAGGATATTAGAACATCAACAATGAAGTTACCATTGAAAGGAGTTAATAGCCAATTTTTGATGTCCGCATTTTTGACACCATTGTATTTAGAACTAAATATTAAATATCGACCAATCAGATGGCTGGATTTGCTGGCCAACATTTGGCGGTTTGCCATTATCTAGTGGAGAAGGTGTAAGGGAAACATCATGGATACTAACGTTTGGAGTGAATATAACAAGAATGTTTTGAGGTGTAATTATCCCTTACATCGCTGTTGTAGGGACGGTGACATAGAAATGATAGAATATTTAATTACTTGCGTTCGTTATTCCGTACAAACCGAAGATTGTTTTCACAGTTGGACTCCTTTCCATTGGGCATGTCGTTTTGGTAAATTGGATTGTCTCCAGAAATTAGCATCCTATCTTCCTTCTAATACAAGTATTGATATCAAATCCTCAAGAAATTTGCAAACTCCTCTTCATATATCAGCTTTAGCATGTCAATCACATTGTTTGCTTTGGTTATTACAGGCTGGTGCTGATGAAAATAATCAGGATTCACTGGGAGAAACTGCTTTGCATAAAGCTATTAGAAGTGGAAGCATAGAATGTGCTGCAATTTTATTATTAAAAAATGCTGATATAAGGTATTGGAAAATTTGATAATATGAATTTAAGATACATTAATTTTTAAGATCTATATGAGAAGTTTTTAATGCCATATGAAATAGCCCTATAGTTGGAAAGGTATGTTGTATCCCCGAATAGTTTAATTCTTATTGAACAATCAGTGAAATTATAAACTATGAATTACAATCTGTATGTTTTATTATTATTATTAGTTCCTCATTTTATAACAAGAATAAATAATATACAAGCATACTATACAACTAATTCTAATGCTCTTATAATTAAAATTTATTTCATAATTTACATAAACTTATGAGATATGTCTCAAAAGTAATTGTACAAAAATTCTTATGTTTAACTTTGCACTATAGCATCATGTTGCATATCTGTTGTTATTTATTTGGAAATGTATATCTTTGTATGATTGAATTAATATAAAATGCAATGCCTTTGGAAAACAGATCCAGTATGTCTGAAAGGATATTGCAGATGAGTGGAAGCTACACAATGACAACATGCCTGTCACATTGCACAGTCAGTTCAAAAGTTTTTAGCCAAAAACACTTAGTTCCATAATCTCTGCAGTTCAGATTTGATACTGTGTGACTTTTTTAATCTCTTACTCAAATTGAAATCCAAGATGAAAGGTCATTGTTATGGGATTGGACAATATCCAAAAAAGTATGACCAATATACTAAAAAATCCTTACAGGTGATTTCCAGCACTGATATGATAAGTGGAAAAAATGTTGTGACTTTTCACCATTAGAATTTTGAAAGGGATAATTTGTACCTTTTATGTAAGTCTATTAAATTTTTTATTAAATAAGTACACTTCTTTTGGGACATACCTTCTACATACATATTATGAAACTAATACTTCTAATACTGGGCATTCTAATTCTTACACAATAATTTAATATTTCAAGAAAACCTTGGTAGAATCAGAGTAGTTATAAAAATACAATATAAAATAGCATCGAATTAAAACAAAAATGAAAATTAAAGTGATAATTTTTTTTTTGAAATATGATAGCCTAAATTAAATTAATAGTGGGTGATTGAATAGTGGACTTGTTACATTATTCTGTTATATTTCGATTATTGTTCAAATTTTGATTGTAGTAAGCAGATATAAACAAAGTACTGTACAGTCAATGAATATAAATAAAATAATTAATGGAAATATTTGACTAATTATAAAATATTGTTGTTATAATATATATTAAATGCTTACTAAGAACATTAAAAGTTTTTTTGATGTATTATCAGAAAATTTTTGTAATTATTTTGGTGTAATAGAAAACTATCTTTACACTATTATCAACTTTTTAAAACAATTATAGAAAAAGAAAATACTGCTAAAAAATTGTAAATAAAAATTTTTCAGAGTTGTTTAATGTGTGTCCTTTCAAGACTTTTTAATGTATGACTTTCAATTCTCCTTGTTAGATTTTTCTACTACAAAGACCCAGAATTTCTAGAGGAAAAGTTATGTAAATTTGTTTGTTTATTGAATATAAGATAAATTTTAGATGTAAATTTTATGATGAAACAAAACTGAAATAAAAAAGTACCAGTATAATTTTTTTTAAATATTTGTATATTATACACATTAACTGTCTTTTGGCATTAATTAAAAGTTCTGTTTAAATGTGTAGATCAAAAATTTCAAAACATTCAACATTTTATATATTTAAATTTTTTAAAACATTTAAAATTTTCTTGTGAAATGTTATAGAGAAATGTTATAAATGACTTTAAGTTAGCTAAGTACCTCTTCATATTAATTAAATTTTAAATAATTCAAGAATATTTTTTATAAGTATAGGAATTCCTTAATATTATTTACACTATATCGAAATAAGAACTTTTAGATTAATGAGCACTTTTCAGTAAGATCTTACATATCTTACTGAAAAAAAAAATTGTTAATTTTACAAACTCTTTTATTACATTTAAATATTTGATATTTATTTTTAATTTTAATGAAATGTTTATGGTACAGAAATAAAGACTAAAACTAACTAATAAAGTCATTACTTTTTATCATTTTCTTTGGGCTTTTAAATGTAAAATGATAAGCCTTTTCTACCATAATTAAAATGTTAATAAGATAATTTTAAAAATAAAAAAAAAATTTAAGTTTAAAAGATTAATAAATAATACTTTACTTTCATTTTTATCTTGACAGGTTGCATAATATTAATGATCAGAGTCCTAGTGAATTAGCAACAGTATGTGGTAATTCCATTTTAACAGTATTAATGGACAAGATTAATGAATGCATTGCTACAAAAAATTTGACAGATGCAGAAAACATCTTGCAAACTGTGATGAAAAATTTTACTGCTGAATTTCATTTGCCGCTTTCTATTCTGTCAGAAATTAAATCTATAAATAATGATATAAATTCAGTAGAAAAAGACTGTTCCAATATGCAGTATGAAATTTCTTCGCAAAATATAAAAAACAGTAGGAAAAGATCATTTACTGAAGATGATTCAGAAATTTCAAAAAGAAAAAAACTAAATGGTAAGTGATTTATTGTCTGTCTTTTATTAAATATAATTTGTTATACATGTTCTCAAATTCAAAAATGGCATAAAAAGTTTGGCAATGCTATGAACCAATGGTGCAACAGTTATGTCCAGCTCTTAGCATTTCCAACTTGGACTTGCAGTATCACCAAACCTCTCACACTGCTATTACGACTACTAGCAATTTCAAGTATTTTTGATCACCTAGTATACATTTTTGTGTAATAATTAAACTATTACTCATATATTACTTTTACTTTCCTGACTGTTATATATAACAGAGGAAATGTTTGATGATTGGCCAAGAAAACTGATCTCCCCAAGATTTTTACATTTTTGGACTTGGGATCTTGAAACATCAAGAAATGCAAAAATGTTGAATTTTTTTTCAATATGTATGCATATCAATGTGTGTGAGGGGCATGATTTTCTTCACTTACTTTGAAGCTTAACAACTCCTGTACATTTTGTCAAAACTTTCTGAAATATTGCAAGAAGGTGTGGGATTAATAGTGTTTATACTATTAAATTTTGGCAGTTAAAGATAAAGGACAGTGGGAAGACAGAGAGGATTGTGTGTCTTATCTTGAGTGGGATCACACTTAATTGAAGATTTTACTTGTTAGCATTTACAATTTTTTATAAAACTCATCTTCACTCTGAAAATTAAGCTTTTTACCAATTTATAATAATTCATAATATTAAAAGTTTTAAATAAAATTTCATAACCGTTGGTGCCCTCTACAATTTTAACTTTACTACCAGGAAAGTAATGCAACTCGCTGGATTTTTTTTACATGGTCTAATTATTTAAAAGTAGTTTAGTTAATTAATTTTCTTACATAGATTAATTGCTGCAAACACACAAGAACAATAATTGGAATAATATATTTATCTAATACTAATGGTAATTTGATTGTGTATATTTATCTTGTTTATTTATGATATAGCATCATGAGTGATATGAGTGCATATATTTGAAGTGTAAAGAGTTGGAAAATGTTTATATATTTTTTTTAATAACTTAAAAAGGAGTGTTGTGAAATTCAAACAATATAATGTAGATTAAAAAGTTTGCATGTGAATATATTTTTAGCAATATTTAAAAGAGCAATATGCAAATAAAATTTATATAATTTCTTGGACTATGCAGAATAATATGTTTATAGTAAAAACATGATTTCTAAGTACAGGTTTTGTTTCAGTACAAATATTTTTTTCTTCCGTTTATTCCCTATAGTGTGAATATTTTTGTCTTTGACATTACTTGTTAATATTTTGATTATGGGATGATTTGAAAGCATCTATTGTGATATTGTTTCTACTCTTATGAGCACAGGACCATACGTGCACACTGAATACAATTCGAACAAGTAATATGTTGGTCACATGCAAAATTTACAAGAACATATACTTTTGTTAATTTACTACATATTACTAAATTTACTACATATACTTATATGTAGAAAAACACAAACAAAATAGTACAGATACTCTTCAGCATTTTCTACTAATAGGCTATAACATCTGTTTATATAGTAAATTATAGAAAGGTGTTAAAACAAAGAGAATTTAAAACTACAGTTGTTTGTTTTAACTTTTTAGCAAATAAATCATTGATACTAACAAAAAAAGCCCATTGAATGTGCTTCATTAAAGCTCCTCATTTATCAATTCAGTAATTACTGTGTGCTTAATTATTGTAATATTTATGATTAATAGCTTGCATAGATTTGAGAAGATTTCTCATCAGAGATGAAAATGATTTCATTTTGTTAAACTTTTTTAAGCAGATTAATTTAAATTTGTATGCTGAATTCATGAGAGTTATAATTTATAGCTATATCATCATTATTTAGGAATTGCAAGTTTATAATATCTTATATGTTAATTAATATAGGAAATTCAAATAGTATTTTTTTTTTCTAAATGATCAATTCAAATTATACATAAAATATTAAATGTTTATATTTAAAAATTCAATATTTTTCACTTTTTTCTGTAGATTAATTGTTAAAGAAATTCTTATTCTTACTACATTTCTGAGAAATTTCCATATTCTATAGTTTTGTGGAAATCAAAGAAAAATAATTAATATTTAATAATTATATGGTATTAATGTAGTTATTTTTTGTATAAGTTATATTTAATAACATTTAAATTCTTAAATTTTTTATATTTAAAAAGTATAAATTAAAAAACTTGTATGATTCTCAAACACATTAAATGTAGAATTTTAGTGATAAATTTTTTGATTTTTACATAATAAAACATATGTTATATCATAAGTGATTGCATTATTTTTCTTTCAATAGAATCTGAACTCTATTCCAATCCATCAGTGCTTTGTAATAGTACTTCTGGTATACCTTCTGAGGAACCAATGATACCATGTATTGTTCAGCATCAAAGTTCATTTGGAATTCAAATGCTTCATGACATTAATAGACATGTACCTCGTTGTTTTGGTCACTATATTTAAAATACTCTTCAGTATATTATAATGTTAAGAAAGGTAATAATATATATCATTATAAAAAATATATATATTATATCAGTTATTTGCTGAATTCTCATCACATTTCTTTTAATTAAATTTTCTGAATTTTAATGAGTATTTTGATAAATACACACAATTTTTATGTTTTGTATTATTTTGTAACATCAAAAATTATAATAAATTATGAACTTAAAGCAAGTTTAGAATAGTAACAAATAAAAACAAATTTTTACCCTCACAAATTATATTTTAATTATATTCTATTATATATAGATGTTAGTTACTAATTAATATCACAACAAACTAAAATAATATGGATAGAATTAAACTGTGCATAAATATTCATAACATTTTACCACGTTGTAAGGTAATTTTACCATATGATTTACATTTCCAAATAATTTTGCTATATGAACATTTTTTAATAATTATTGCTAATATCAGAAAGAATAACAAGAGCATTCAAACTGTGTATTTTATTAAATATAAAAACAATTTTTAAAAGACAATGTAAAATAATATACACACACATAATGTAATTAAAGCACAAATCTACTGCAAACTGAAATGTAAAGTTTGGATTGTTTTCAGGTTATATTTATGTTCATTAATTAATAAATTAGTGAAATATAACTAAAAATAAATCAAATTTAAGCATATGCTTAACAACTTAAAAATATCTTTAATTATTCTGTTAAAATCAATAAAGAATATCCTTATTTTTAATAAGAATTTTTTAAAAATAAATTTATAACTGTTAAATTATTTAAAACATGATAAAAATCACATGATTGATACTTTTATTTGAGACTTTATATGTTCATGATTTATGATTTTTATTTAATATTGAATAGTTTATACAGATGTAAAATATATTAAAATTTAATGAGTGATAAATTCAATATTAGCAAACAGAATTTTGTCTAACAAAACATTAAATCTAAATCTAATTTTTGTAATTGATTTTTAAATACAAAACTTTTTAAACTATTAAGAAGATAAATATTTTTTAATAAATTTATTTATTTTAACACAGTAAAATATTTACTAGTGACAAAAATGACTTTCTGTCTAATAGTTTGTATTGTCAATCAAATTTTTTAGACATTAAGTTAATATAATTAAAACTTAATGAGTATATTTATCAAAAATTTATAGTAATTTTTTTTTTTATAAATGCTGTAACAAATTATATTTATATTTAAAATATGCAAAAATGCAAATATTTTATATTAAAATATTTCAAAAAATTTCTTTCAGTATTCACTAAGAGGGAAAGAATAAAAACCTCTGAATTGATATTGATTGAATTATAGTGCAAGTTAATATAAATATTATTTAAGGATATTATTATTAGGCTTGAAAATTATATTTTTGTAATTTGTAACTACTTATCTGCTTTTGTAACAATATATTTATTAATTTTCATATTTCATGTTAAAATTTCATAATATAATATTAAAATGTATGTGAATGGTTACTTTAATACAAATTGTTTTTCATAACATCAAGCTTTTATAATATAATTAACCATTGTAACATGTGATGAAACTTTTTTAAATGGCAAATTTTGATGAAAGTAAAGTTAAAAATTGTATTCCTTTTAAGAAAAAAGATTTGAATTATATAAATAAATTATTAAGATAATGTATGAAATTAACTTTGACTATACTTTGACTAACTTTAACTTTAATTATTGGCTATTCAACCCAACACTGTAGATGATATGTTTTCAAGTTGTGTAAGAATATAGGCAATTAATTTTGTATGTTTTTTTGAAACTTAAGCACAGTACGGATGTATATAAACCAAGCTATTACTGATATTTTACATATAATGTTGTTTATTTTTCTTTTTATAGCTTTGTGATTAATTCTTCTGAAGATCAAAACATAAATTTGTTATGACTGCCTGTTAGCTTTTCAATGTAATTTATGTTCTTGGATTGTTTGAATTCTGAAAATATTTACAGTTAAGTAACTTTGGGGTTTTAATTTAAAATAATTTTTGTTACTAATATTCAAAAATTATATGAGAGTATGTGGGATATAGACCAATAATTTCAAAACACTTGCATGAATGAAATGTTTTAAATACCGTAAGTATATATTGAAGTAAGAACGTGTATATCAGATAGGCATAGTTTATTTATTTTTCAATGACCTAGATTCATTTATAATTATTTTAGTTAACTTTGCCATTATCGTAAACTTGTAAGCTTGAATTCATAGTAGAGTACTTATCATTTGTAATTACTTTTAGTAGTATATGAGATTATAAACAAATGTATTCCATAAAAATTCTTCGGATGTTGAAGAATAGCAATTTTGTATAGGAGATTGTGATTTGCATTATTCATTGCATTTATTAATAGCTACTGCTGGATATTAAAACCTTTAATAATAATTTATAACAATTGTAATGTGATAAATTGAATTTTTAAGATTTATGCATTTCATAAGAATCTCCATTTTACTGTTGCAGTATATTTTTTATTTATAGATGTATATTTTAATATTTCATAACTTAAAAACATTTGTGAAGTCAAATGTATTGTGCTGTTGTGATAATATTCATAACTAAGAATATTATTGTATGCTATTCACTGCTAAAAAATAGGGTTGTTTTGCTTCCCATGGAAGCAATCCTTTATCAAAATGAACTTTTTTAATAGTTACGTAGAAATATATAAATATATTATGGCTTTTTCTATATGATTAAATGTTATTAGTTTAGTTAGTGGCATGAAAAAAGTTAAAGCCACATTGGTTTAATTTATTGTAAATAAAAAGTTATATAATGAGTGTTGTTGTAATGTTTTTAATTTTGAATTCAGTCACTTTATATAATTAATATATTCTCAATAAAACATATAGGAACTATAAAAATTAAATTATAAATATGAAGAAAAAAAAAATGTCCAAATCTTAGGAATGAATACATTTGTTAGTGGCAATAACTAGAAAGAAGATGACAAGTCACAATGTTGTGTATTGCATCACAATTCAGATGGACATATCCATATTGTTGGGTCTCTCTACCCAATATTGATAAGTACTTTCTATCCATTCTCCATCTATGTCCAAGTGCTCTATGTACCTTTCACCAAAGACTTAATTTTATTGTTTTGAATTTATAAAATTTTACAAGTTGTTTGCATTACCCTGTGTTAGATGTCGAGGAATACAATTCTTGCCATATTTATCTTCATTCATTTACAGTTCTCTGTATTCATGTACAAATGTTGTTCATCCTTAAGTTTTGGACATGTGTCTATTTACATTAAAATTAAAAAAAACTTNTATGAATATAAATAATAATTTAATATTTAAAAATAATGGTTAAAAATTGAATAATTTTTATTTTTTAACTTTTGGAATATAATTACTTTTATTTTAGGATTCACTGGGAGAAACTGCTTTGCATAAAGCTATTAGAAGTGGAAGCATAGAATGTGCTGCAATTTTATTATTAAAAAATGCTGATATAAGGTATTGGAAAATTTGATAATATGAATTTAAGATACATTAATTTTTAAGATCTATATGAGAAGTTTTTAATGCCATATGAAATAGCCCTATAGTTGGAAAGGTATGTTGTATCCCCGAATAGTTTAATTCTTATTGAACAATCAGTGAAATTATAAACTATGAATTACAATCTGTATGTTTTATTATTATTATTAGTTCCTCATTTTATAACAAGAATAAATAATATACAAGCATACTATACAACTAATTCTAATGCTCTTATAATTAAAATTTATTTCATAATTTACATAAACTTATGAGATATGTCTCAAAAGTAATTGTACAAAAATTCTTATGTTTAACTTTGCACTATAGCATCATGTTGCATATCTGTTGTTATTTATTTGGAAATGTATATCTTTGTATGATTGAATTAATATAAAATGCAATGCCTTTGGAAAACAGATCCAGTATGTCTGAAAGGATATTGCAGATGAGTGGAAGCTACACAATGACAACATGCCTGTCACATTGCACAGTCAGTTCAAAAGTTTTTAGCCAAAAACACTTAGTTCCATAATCTCTGCAGTTCAGATTTGATACTGTGTGACTTTTTTAATCTCTTACTCAAATTGAAATCCAAGATGAAAGGTCATTGTTATGGGATTGGACAATATCCAAAAAAGTATGACCAATATACTAAAAAATCCTTACAGGTGATTTCCAGCACTGATATGATAAGTGGAAAAAATGTTGTGACTTTTCACCATTAGAATTTTGAAAGGGATAATTTGTACCTTTTATGTAAGTCTATTAAATTTTTTATTAAATAAGTACACTTCTTTTGGGACATACCTTCTACATACATATTATGAAACTAATACTTCTAATACTGGGCATTCTAATTCTTACACAATAATTTAATATTTCAAGAAAACCTTGGTAGAATCAGAGTAGTTATAAAAATACAATATAAAATAGCATCGAATTAAAACAAAAATGAAAATTAAAGTGATAATTTTTTTTTTGAAATATGATAGCCTAAATTAAATTAATAGTGGGTGATTGAATAGTGGACTTGTTACATTATTCTGTTATATTTCGATTATTGTTCAAATTTTGATTGTAGTAAGCAGATATAAACAAAGTACTGTACAGTCAATGAATATAAATAAAATAATTAATGGAAATATTTGACTAATTATAAAATATTGTTGTTATAATATATATTAAATGCTTACTAAGAACATTAAAAGTTTTTTTGATGTATTATCAGAAAATTTTTGTAATTATTTTGGTGTAATAGAAAACTATCTTTACACTATTATCAACTTTTTAAAACAATTATAGAAAAAGAAAATACTGCTAAAAAATTGTAAATAAAAATTTTTCAGAGTTGTTTAATGTGTGTCCTTTCAAGACTTTTTAATGTATGACTTTCAATTCTCCTTGTTAGATTTTTCTACTACAAAGACCCAGAATTTCTAGAGGAAAAGTTATGTAAATTTGTTTGTTTATTGAATATAAGATAAATTTTAGATGTAAATTTTATGATGAAACAAAACTGAAATAAAAAAGTACCAGTATAATTTTTTTAAAATATTTGTATATTATACACATTAACTGTCTTTTGGCATTAATTAAAAGTTCTGTTTGTGAACAGCTCACGTATTTGTAAAATCTAAGCGACTCGTACAACATGGAATTCAAATAAAACGGTATAATCAACAGTGTTATAGGAGGGTCGACTTGTATACATAATATACACAGGGTAGGTCAAAAGTAACCGTGTTTATTACAAGCAATTCAGCAATTTATGTGTGTCAAAGCATTGTAATTTGTGTACTGAACTAGAAATTTTTTTTTTATTTTGAACAACTTTCACATAGTTCGAGTGAAAAAGTATTTGAATAGGATAGTTATATAGCTTTTACAGTAGTTAACACATTTTTGGGCCAGCGCGCCACACAAACACGCACAAAATATGACATATAAATTTATAATTACGGCTAAGTTTTTCAATTTTAAAATGTCAAATTTATCAAAAGTTTCCTGTTTTTCCCGTTTCCTTAAAAACGTAAATTTCCTGTACAAAACTGTTACTATAAAGGACATTTTTTTTCACGCTTAGGATGAGTTTATTCATCGACCGTTTAGTTAAAACTCCGGTTTACGACGGTTTTATAGAAACCTGCTACGTCGGTAAAACCGAAGAGATACCGTAATTTAAAATAGCCATTTTAATTCTGTTACATAACTGATAATATGTGCTATAACATTATTTAAATAATCATAAGAGAACATTTATACCAGTTGTAAAAGGGTGTTACATTACTAGAGGTCGTAAATCGGGGTTTACTTTTTATAGTCTAGTAACCGAATTATTTAATTTTTGAAAAAAATTGTCGCTCGGATATTTATTTACCATATTTCTAAGTTTAATTATAATAAAACAAGACACAGCTTCTGCACAAAGCACATAACACCTCAAGAGCACACTTATGCGTGTGCATATAATATTGAGCGGGTTAATATAAGTGAGAAGAAAGCAATTGTTTGTTTATTCGGTTAAAAGATGTTTACTTATATACTACTTAACATCAATAGAGAGTTATAGCTTCACGGTCCCAGGCAAATTTGAATTAGGGAGCCCCCATATATAGTGTTGACTTCAGACATTNTTTTAAATGTAAAATGATAAGCCTTTTCTACCATAATTAAAATGTTAATAAGATAATTTTAAAAATAAAAAAAAAATTTAAGTTTAAAAGATTAATAAATAATACTTTACTTTCATTTTTATCTTGACAGGTTGCATAATATTAATGATCAGAGTCCTAGTGAATTAGCAACAGTATGTGGTAATTCCATTTTAACAGTATTAATGGACAAGATTAATGAATGCATTGCTACAAAAAATTTGACAGATGCAGAAAACATCTTGCAAACTGTGATGAAAAATTTTACTGCTGAATTTCATTTGCCGCTTTCTATTCTGTCAGAAATTAAATCTATAAATAATGATATAAATTCAGTAGAAAAAGACTGTTCCAATATGCAGTATGAAATTTCTTCGCAAAATATAAAAAACAGTAGGAAAAGATCATTTACTGAAGATGATTCAGAAATTTCAAAAAGAAAAAAACTAAATGGTAAGTGATTTATTGTCTGTCTTTTATTAAATATAATTTGTTATACATGTTCTCAAATTCAAAAATGGCATAAAAAGTTTGGCAATGCTATGAACCAATGGTGCAACAGTTATGTCCAGCTCTTAGCATTTCCAACTTGGACTTGCAGTATCACCAAACCTCTCACACTGCTATTACGACTACTAGCAATTTCAAGTATTTTTGATCACCTAGTATACATTTTTGTGTAATAATTAAACTATTACTCATATATTACTTTTACTTTCCTGACTGTTATATATAACAGAGGAAATGTTTGATGATTGGCCAAGAAAACTGATCTCCCCAAGATTTTTACATTTTTGGACTTGGGATCTTGAAACATCAAGAAATGCAAAAATGTTGAATTTTTTTTCAATATGTATGCATATCAATGTGTGTGAGGGGCATGATTTTCTTCACTTACTTTGAAGCTTAACAACTCCTGTACATTTTGTCAAAACTTTCTGAAATATTGCAAGAAGGTGTGGGATTAATAGTGTTTATACTATTAAATTTTGGCAGTTAAAGATAAAGGACAGTGGGAAGACAGAGAGGATTGTGTGTCTTATCTTGAGTGGGATCACACTTAATTGAAGATTTTACTTGTTAGCATTTACAATTTTTTATAAAACTCATCTTCACTCTGAAAATTAAGCTTTTTACCAATTTATAATAATTCATAATATTAAAAGTTTTAAATAAAATTTCATAACCGTTGGTGCCCTCTACAATTTTAACTTTACTACCAGGAAAGTAATGCAACTCGCTGGATTTTTTTTACATGGTCTAATTATTTAAAAGTAGTTTAGTTAATTAATTTTCTTACATAGATTAATTGCTGCAAACACACAAGAACAATAATTGGAATAATATATTTATCTAATACTAATGGTAATTTGATTGTGTATATTTATCTTGTTTATTTATGATATAGCATCATGAGTGATATGAGTGCATATATTTGAAGTGTAAAGAGTTGGAAAATGTTTATATATTTTTTTTAATAACTTAAAAAGGAGTGTTGTGAAATTCAAACAATATAATGTAGATTAAAAAGTTTGCATGTGAATATATTTTTAGCAATATTTAAAAGAGCAATATGCAAATAAAATTTATATAATTTCTTGGACTATGCAGAATAATATGTTTATAGTAAAAACATGATTTCTAAGTACAGGTTTTGTTTCAGTACAAATATTTTTTTCTTCCGTTTATTCCCTATAGTGTGAATATTTTTGTCTTTGACATTACTTGTTAATATTTTGATTATGGGATGATTTGAAAGCATCTATTGTGATATTGTTTCTACTCTTATGAGCACAGGACCATACGTGCACACTGAATACAATTCGAACAAGTAATATGTTGGTCACATGCAAAATTTACAAGAACATATACTTTTGTTAATTTACTACATATTACTAAATTTACTACATATACTTATATGTAGAAAAACACAAACAAAATAGTACAGATACTCTTCAGCATTTTCTACTAATAGGCTATAACATCTGTTTATATAGTAAATTATAGAAAGGTGTTAAAACAAAGAGAATTTAAAACTACAGTTGTTTGTTTTAACTTTTTAGCAAATAAATCATTGATACTAACAAAAAAAGCCCATTGAATGTGCTTCATTAAAGCTCCTCATTTATCAATTCAGTAATTACTGTGTGCTTAATTATTGTAATATTTATGATTAATAGCTTGCATAGATTTGAGAAGATTTCTCATCAGAGATGAAAATGATTTCATTTTGTTAAACTTTTTTAAGCAGATTAATTTAAATTTGTATGCTGAATTCATGAGAGTTATAATTTATAGCTATATCATCATTATTTAGGAATTGCAAGTTTATAATATCTTATATGTTAATTAATATAGGAAATTCAAATAGTATTTTTTTTTTCTAAATGATCAATTCAAATTATACATAAAATATTAAATGTTTATATTTAAAAATTCAATATTTTTCACTTTTTTCTGTAGATTAATTGTTAAAGAAATTCTTATTCTTACTACATTTCTGAGAAATTTCCATATTCTATAGTTTTGTGGAAATCAAAGAAAAATAATTAATATTTAATAATTATATGGTATTAATGTAGTTATTTTTTGTATAAGTTATATTTAATAACATTTAAATTCTTAAATTTTTTATATTTAAAAAGTATAAATTAAAAAACTTGTATGATTCTCAAACACATTAAATGTAGAATTTTAGTGATAAATTTTTTGATTTTTACATAATAAAACATATGTTATATCATAAGTGATTGCATTATTTTTCTTTCAATAGAATCTGAACTCTATTCCAATCCATCAGTGCTTTGTAATAGTACTTCTGGTATACCTTCTGAGGAACCAATGATACCATGTATTGTTCAGCATCAAAGTTCATTTGGAATTCAAATGCTTCATGACATTAATAGACATGTACCTCGTTGTTTTGGTCACTATATTTAAAATACTCTTCAGTATATTATAATGTTAAGAAAGGTAATAATATATATCATTATAAAAAATATATATATTATATCAGTTATTTGCTGAATTCTCATCACATTTCTTTTAATTAAATTTTCTGAATTTTAATGAGTATTTTGATAAATACACACAATTTTTATGTTTTGTATTATTTTGTAACATCAAAAATTATAATAAATTATGAACTTAAAGCAAGTTTAGAATAGTAACAAATAAAAACAAATTTTTACCCTCACAAATTATATTTTAATTATATTCTATTATATATAGATGTTAGTTACTAATTAATATCACAACAAACTAAAATAATATGGATAGAATTAAACTGTGCATAAATATTCATAACATTTTACCACGTTGTAAGGTAATTTTACCATATGATTTACATTTCCAAATAATTTTGCTATATGAACATTTTTTAATAATTATTGCTAATATCAGAAAGAATAACAAGAGCATTCAAACTGTGTATTTTATTAAATATAAAAACAATTTTTAAAAGACAATGTAAAATAATATACACACACATAATGTAATTAAAGCACAAATCTACTGCAAACTGAAATGTAAAGTTTGGATTGTTTTCAGGTTATATTTATGTTCATTAATTAATAAATTAGTGAAATATAACTAAAAATAAATCAAATTTAAGCATATGCTTAACAACTTAAAAATATCTTTAATTATTCTGTTAAAATCAATAAAGAATATCCTTATTTTTAATAAGAATTTTTTAAAAATAAATTTATAACTGTTAAATTATTTAAAACATGATAAAAATCACATGATTGATACTTTTATTTGAGACTTTATATGTTCATGATTTATGATTTTTATTTAATATTGAATAGTTTATACAGATGTAAAATATATTAAAATTTAATGAGTGATAAATTCAATATTAGCAAACAGAATTTTGTCTAACAAAACATTAAATCTAAATCTAATTTTTGTAATTGATTTTTAAATACAAAACTTTTTAAACTATTAAGAAGATAAATATTTTTTAATAAATTTATTTATTTTAACACAGTAAAATATTTACTAGTGACAAAAATGACTTTCTGTCTAATAGTTTGTATTGTCAATCAAATTTTTTAGACATTAAGTTAATATAATTAAAACTTAATGAGTATATTTATCAAAAATTTATAGTAATTTTTTTTTTTATAAATGCTGTAACAAATTATATTTATATTTAAAATATGCAAAAATGCAAATATTTTATATTAAAATATTTCAAAAAATTTCTTTCAGTATTCACTAAGAGGGAAAGAATAAAAACCTCTGAATTGATATTGATTGAATTATAGTGCAAGTTAATATAAATATTATTTAAGGATATTATTATTAGGCTTGAAAATTATATTTTTGTAATTTGTAACTACTTATCTGCTTTTGTAACAATATATTTATTAATTTTCATATTTCATGTTAAAATTTCATAATATAATATTAAAATGTATGTGAATGGTTACTTTAATACAAATTGTTTTTCATAACATCAAGCTTTTATAATATAATTAACCATTGTAACATGTGATGAAACTTTTTTAAATGGCAAATTTTGATGAAAGTAAAGTTAAAAATTGTATTCCTTTTAAGAAAAAAGATTTGAATTATATAAATAAATTATTAAGATAATGTATGAAATTAACTTTGACTATACTTTGACTAACTTTAACTTTAATTATTGGCTATTCAACCCAACACTGTAGATGATATGTTTTCAAGTTGTGTAAGAATATAGGCAATTAATTTTGTATGTTTTTTTGAAACTTAAGCACAGTACGGATGTATATAAACCAAGCTATTACTGATATTTTACATATAATGTTGTTTATTTTTCTTTTTATAGCTTTGTGATTAATTCTTCTGAAGATCAAAACATAAATTTGTTATGACTGCCTGTTAGCTTTTCAATGTAATTTATGTTCTTGGATTGTTTGAATTCTGAAAATATTTACAGTTAAGTAACTTTGGGGTTTTAATTTAAAATAATTTTTGTTACTAATATTCAAAAATTATATGAGAGTATGTGGGATATAGACCAATAATTTCAAAACACTTGCATGAATGAAATGTTTTAAATACCGTAAGTATATATTGAAGTAAGAACGTGTATATCAGATAGGCATAGTTTATTTATTTTTCAATGACCTAGATTCATTTATAATTATTTTAGTTAACTTTGCCATTATCGTAAACTTGTAAGCTTGAATTCATAGTAGAGTACTTATCATTTGTAATTACTTTTAGTAGTATATGAGATTATAAACAAATGTATTCCATAAAAATTCTTCGGATGTTGAAGAATAGCAATTTTGTATAGGAGATTGTGATTTGCATTATTCATTGCATTTATTAATAGCTACTGCTGGATATTAAAACCTTTAATAATAATTTATAACAATTGTAATGTGATAAATTGAATTTTTAAGATTTATGCATTTCATAAGAATCTCCATTTTACTGTTGCAGTATATTTTTTATTTATAGATGTATATTTTAATATTTCATAACTTAAAAACATTTGTGAAGTCAAATGTATTGTGCTGTTGTGATAATATTCATAACTAAGAATATTATTGTATGCTATTCACTGCTAAAAAATAGGGTTGTTTTGCTTCCCATGGAAGCAATCCTTTATCAAAATGAACTTTTTTAATAGTTACGTAGAAATATATAAATATATTATGGCTTTTTCTATATGATTAAATGTTATTAGTTTAGTTAGTGGCATGAAAAAAGTTAAAGCCACATTGGTTTAATTTATTGTAAATAAAAAGTTATATAATGAGTGTTGTGGTGATGTTTTTAATTTTGAATTCAGTCACTTTATATAATTAATATATTCTCAATAAAACATATAGGAGCTATAAAAATTAAATTATAAATATGAAGAAAAAAAAAATGTCCAAATCTTAGGAATGAATACATTTGCTAGTGGCAATAACTAGAAAGAATATGACAAGTCACAATGTTGTGTGTTGCATCACAATTTAGATGGACATATCCATATTGTTGGGTCTCTCTACCCAATATTGATAAGTACTTTCTATCCATTCTCCATCTATGTCCAAGTGCTCTATGTACCTTTCACCAAAGACTTAATTTTATTGTTTTGAATTTATAAAATTTTACAAGTTGTTTGCATTACCCTGTGTTAGATGTCGAGGAATACAATTCTTGCCATATTTATCTTCATTCATTTACAGTTCTCTGTATTCATGTACAAATGTTGTTCATCCTTAAGTTTTGGACATGTGTCTATTTACATTAAAATTAAAAAAAACTTGCTATTAGTTTAAATATTTAATTTTGAATAAACAAATTTGGTACTTACATTAAATTAATAGTAATTTTAGATTTAAGTTCAACTAATTTATTTTAATAAATTTTATAATAAAATTTAAACATTAAAAATTTATAGCTTTTTTATAGTTAATTTATAATCTTATACTTTTGATTTAATCATTACTGATATATTTTCTGCTGTGTCTATTGATTCCCTTAAGCTATATTGAAGCTACATTACATTTTAAAAATTTATAAAAAATGCAAGTAAAATTCTATAAATATATTTGCGATCTTATCCTATAAAGATAATAGAATTTTTTAAAACTGATAAAACAGATTTAATACTTTTCTAGTAACTACACTTCCATTACACATCTCCAATGACATAATAAAATTGTATTGATTGATCTTAAAGATAAGTTGTGCTCTTCTAGTGCTTTTTAAATACTTCCAGGAGTAAATTTTCTATTTTTAGAATCAATCCTATAAAACAAAGATAAAATAATAATTGATTTTATTGATCTTCACAAAATCAAATCAAATTCAATATAGATTCTTTAGTGATGTTATCTGTCTTCGTGCCAACAACAAGAAAACACATTCTGTTATGTCACTCAACAAAGAAAAATATCGATAAGCCTGATTTATCAATAAATCTTGGCACTTGTGACCAGGCGTAAAAGATATGTTGCATGACTCGTGACTCACACTCGAATCCAGATCTTCCAGAACAGAAAAAGCACTAAAAGAGCACCACTTATCTTTAAGATCATTCAATTGGGAAGCCAAATGATGCAATCAGAATCAATGCTGCTATCAAATGAAATTGTGAACAATCAATGGCATTCAACATGATTATAGTAGCAAAGTAATACATGTGAGTCTTTAAGCTTCAAGTAATTTGGAGGCTCTGAATGTTTAACATTTAAAAACAGTATAAATATTTAACATTTTTATTACATTCCAATGTCCTTTTAGCTCTGGATGAAATTAATGCTTGCTAATGCTCAAGGTTCCATTTTTTTTTATGATTACAGAAGCAATAAAAGTCACCTCATATCAATTAATTGAATGTATTGTTTATCCAATTAGAATGATAAATTATTTTAAAGTTCACAATTAAAGATTTACATCATAAAAAATTGAGACGAACTCTATTTCGATTCATTATAATAAAATGAAATAGCACAGTAACTGTATAACCCGTGGGTTATCTTTGTTGGTTTGGTTTATTTAGTTGACAACGTGACATGTGGGCGATCTATTGAGGGAGGATGCCTCCTGGGACGACTGTTTGTGTATTACAAACGTGAAAAAAACCCGGAAAACTCCACATGACCAGCTCGAACCTAGGACCAACTACCAGTGTTTAGTGCTTTTATCCACTTGGTCACTGGTGGGCGGTTATTGTTTTAATGTCAATTCGAAACCAGATGTAGGCTGTGTTCTAGTAATTTTTCCGTTTATACGCAGGAAATTGCGGTATTTTAATTAATAAATATCTTGGTAAGTTATTGATTTTTTTAAAAAATGTTTATTTATATGAGGAATTATAATTACACTTCACAAGTATTTTGAGAATTTCATAGAATTCTTTTATGAAATTCTACTGTACTAGCCCTGTTTTACCTTCCTACCGACTTTCATTATGAGCCTGGATAAGCGTATAATGGACATCGAAAAAAGAAACTTTTAGGGCCCACTATTATTTATTTCATTGCATTTTTAGTATTTTAAGAAGGGAAACCTTTTATATAATATATTTTTAAATAATAAAATTTGCCAAAAATTACTCATTTTAATACTTTTTAGCAATTTCTCGTCTTACGAGCTTTAAAAGAGCCTTTTTTTTCCATGTTTACTGTACGTTCGTCTAAGTTTACTCCAGTTGATGAGGGGCAGAATCTTAAATGGCCAGGCCAATCCTTATAAAAAATTCTAACTCCAAGACAATGTTTCTTGCAAAACACGAGCATCTTCACGTTTTGCAAGAACAACATGATCAGAGCTGTGCTTCAGCTATGATTCATTCAACCTGAGAAGGGTACAGCGTTATTCACAATTGTCAGGCCTCATCTCTGAAAGCCATAAAAAAGATTTAATAAAATTAATAAAACAGAGTTTGATTTATATCACATTTATATTTTATTTTTCCACCTGTTAAAAGTTATAACGTAACACTGGAAAGTATTGTAATAGTGCCAAATTGGACTTTCTAGGTTTGCATCCTTTAAATTCAAAAATGTCAAAAAAGGGGGAATTGTTTGGTATGGTGTGTTGTCTGTATGTTTATGTGTTGACATTCATTTCATTTAATATCAGGATGGGATAAAGAAATTTGGCAAAGTAACTTGTATATAAGGGGCATTCATGCTATTAAATTTTGGAGTACGTAACTCAAGGGGGTCATGTATCGTATCTCGAGTCGGGTCGGACTTAATGGAAATTTTACACTTTATTGGCATTTATGATATTTTTAAAAGCTCATTTCAACTCTCAAAATTGAGCCTTTTTGTTTTTTTATAATTATTATTAAAAAATAACTTTTATATTATTATCTAATGGTTCCCTTAATCTCCTGTTCGAGTGCCAGAAAAGTCCAGCAAGAGCCCTTGCCAGCTTGATTTATTTTACATAAAATACTAGAATTTAGGGAATTCCTCTACCTAGAGCGGGTTCAAATGGCCCTATAGTACAAACAATCTTCTAATATATACATAACGTTACTTTTCTACATTAACAAGAAAACAAGCGAGGGTTACTGTTCTCATCCTTGTTACTTCGATGGCAGATTACTCAGTAGGTCCACTAGGGCCTCGTCGTCTCAGGGGGCCTCAAAAATTACACAACGAAAAGATGATATGCTTCTAAAATTCAGTAAACGTTTAAAAAGTTATGTATTGTAAATAAAATAGTTGTTATTTAAAGATTTTATGATCTTTTTAATTTTAAAAACGCGTTTCTACAAAGGCCCTTGTAATAAAATTGCGTCTAGGGCCTTAAAGGAACACGAAATGAAACTGCATAAGCTCCCATGCATTCTGCAAGAAAAACGATAGCATAAAGATAAACAAAGACAGTCACGAATCCACGGAAACGTTATTCAGAATAATAAATGAAAAAAAGGGGGTAAAACGAACAGTGACACGGATAACAACTCTCGATTAAGGGCGTGTTCTTTATATTTTTTCCTTGACATATAAACCTTTCCATAATAAATCTACGTGATGTCAATAATTCCGTTACAGGGAAGGAGATAAAAACAACCTAAATTAATCGAAAATTTCCATTGGAGCTTTACCCTACGTTCAAAAAGGGCAATTGTCTTGGATCCCCAAACCAATTTTTTATAAACTCATTACTGTAGTAAGAATATCGAAATATAAATTTGGGGCCCTCCAGAGATCGCGTTAAACCAATAAAGAAACTGGATGTTTCCCTCAAAAATTACCTGTCTGAATTTAATACTGTACGTAGGGCCCTTAATTCAAATTTTTTCGGGTCCCAAGAAGCTATAACGTGCCACAAANATCAGAGTCCTATTGAATTAGCAACAGTATGTGGTAATTCCATTTTAACAGTATTAATGGACAAGATTAATGAATGCATTGCTACAAAAAATTTGACAGATGCAGAAAACATCTTGCAAACTGTGATGAAAAATTTTACTGCTGAATTTCATTTGCCGCTTTCTATTCTGTCAGAAATTAAATCTATAAATAATGATATAAATTCAGTAGAAAAAGACTGTTCCAATATGCAGTATGAAATTTCTTCGCAAAATATAAAAAATAGTAGGAAAAGATCATTTACTGAAGATGATTCAGAAATTTCAAAAAGAAAAAAACTAAATGGTAAGTGATTTATTGTCTGTCTTTTATTAAATATAATTTGTTATACATGTTCTCAAATTCAAAAATGGCATAAAAAGTTTGGCAATGCTATGAACCAATGGTGCAACAGTTATGTCCAGCTCTTAGCATTTCCAACTTGGACTTGCAGTATCACCAAACCTCTCACACTGCTATTACGACTACTAGCAATTTCAAGTATTTTTGATCACCTAGTATACATTTTTGTGTAATAATTAAACTATTACTCATATATTACTTTTACTTTCCTGACTGTTATATATAACAGAGGAAATGTTTGATGATTGGCCAAGAAAACTGATCTCCCCAAGATTTTTACATTTTTGGACTTGGGATCTTGAAACATCAAGAAATGCAAAAATGTTGAATTTTTTTTCAATATGTATGCATATCAATGTGTGTGAGGGGCATGATTTTCTTCACTTACTTTGAAGCTTAACAACTCCTGTACATTTTGTCAAAACTTTCTGAAATATTGCAAGAAGGTGTGGGATTAATAGTGTTTATACTATTAAATTTTGGCAGTTAAAGATAAAGGACAGTGGGAAGACAGAGAGGATTGTGTGTCTTATCTTGAGTGGGATCACACTTAATTGAAGATTTTACTTGTTAGCATTTACAATTTTTTATAAAACTCATCTTCACTCTGAAAATTAAGCTTTTTACCAATTTATAATAATTCATAATATTAAAAGTTTTAAATAAAATTTCATAACCGTTGGTGCCCTCTACAATTTTAACTTTACTACCAGGAAAGTAATGCAACTCGCTGGATTTTTTTTACATGGTCTAATTATTTAAAAGTAGTTTAGTTAATTAATTTTCTTACATAGATTAATTGCTGCAAACACACAAGAACAATAATTGGAATAATATATTTATCTAATACTAATGGTAATTTGATTGTGTATATTTATCTTGTTTATTTATGATATAGCATCATGAGTGATATGAGTGCATATATTTGAAGTGTAAAGAGTTGGAAAATGTTTATATATTTTTTTTAATAACTTAAAAAGGAGTGTTGTGAAATTCAAACAATATAATGTAGATTAAAAAGTTTGCATGTGAATATATTTTTAGCAATATTTAAAAGAGCAATATGCAAATAAAATTTATATAATTTCTTGGACTATGCAGAATAATATGTTTATAGTAAAAACATGATTTCTAAGTACAGGTTTTGTTTCAGTACAAATATTTTTTTCTTCCGTTTATTCCCTATAGTGTGAATATTTTTGTCTTTGACATTACTTGTTAATATTTTGATTATGGGATGATTTGAAAGCATCTATTGTGATATTGTTTCTACTCTTATGAGCACAGGACCATACGTGCACACTGAATACAATTCGAACAAGTAATATGTTGGTCACATGCAAAATTTACAAGAACATATACTTTTGTTAATTTACTACATATTACTAAATTTACTACATATACTTATATGTAGAAAAACACAAACAAAATAGTACAGATACTCTTCAGCATTTTCTACTAATAGGCTATAACATCTGTTTATATAGTAAATTATAGAAAGGTGTTAAAACAAAGAGAATTTAAAACTACAGTTGTTTGTTTTAACTTTTTAGCAAATAAATCATTGATACTAACAAAAAAAGCCCATTGAATGTGCTTCATTAAAGCTCCTCATTTATCAATTCAGTAATTACTGTGTGCTTAATTATTGTAATATTTATGATTAATAGCTTGCATAGATTTGAGAAGATTTCTCATCAGAGATGAAAATGATTTCATTTTGTTAAACTTTTTTAAGCAGATTAATTTAAATTTGTATGCTGAATTCATGAGAGTTATAATTTATAGCTATATCATCATTATTTAGGAATTGCAAGTTTATAATATCTTATATGTTAATTAATATAGGAAATTCAAATAGTATTTTTTTTTTCTAAATGATCAATTCAAATTATACATAAAATATTAAATGTTTATATTTAAAAATTCAATATTTTTCACTTTTTTCTGTAGATTAATTGTTAAAGAAATTCTTATTCTTACTACATTTCTGAGAAATTTCCATATTCTATAGTTTTGTGGAAATCAAAGAAAAATAATTAATATTTAATAATTATATGGTATTAATGTAGTTATTTTTTGTATAAGTTATATTTAATAACATTTAAATTCTTAAATTTTTTATATTTAAAAAGTATAAATTAAAAAACTTGTATGATTCTCAAACACATTAAATGTAGAATTTTAGTGATAAATTTTTTGATTTTTACATAATAAAACATATGTTATATCATAAGTGATTGCATTATTTTTCTTTCAATAGAATCTGAACTCTATTCCAATCCATCAGTGCTTTGTAATAGTACTTCTGGTATACCTTCTGAGGAACCAATGATACCATGTATTGTTCAGCATCAAAGTTCATTTGGAATTCAAATGCTTCATGACATTAATAGACATGTACCTCGTTGTTTTGGTCACTATATTTAAAATACTCTTCAGTATATTATAATGTTAAGAAAGGTAATAATATATATCATTATAAAAAATATATATATTATATCAGTTATTTGCTGAATTCTCATCACATTTCTTTTAATTAAATTTTCTGAATTTTAATGAGTATTTTGATAAATACACACAATTTTTATGTTTTGTATTATTTTGTAACATCAAAAATTATAATAAATTATGAACTTAAAGCAAGTTTAGAATAGTAACAAATAAAAACAAATTTTTACCCTCACAAATTATATTTTAATTATATTCTATTATATATAGATGTTAGTTACTAATTAATATCACAACAAACTAAAATAATATGGATAGAATTAAACTGTGCATAAATATTCATAACATTTTACCACGTTGTAAGGTAATTTTACCATATGATTTACATTTCCAAATAATTTTGCTATATGAACATTTTTTAATAATTATTGCTAATATCAGAAAGAATAACAAGAGCATTCAAACTGTGTATTTTATTAAATATAAAAACAATTTTTAAAAGACAATGTAAAATAATATACACACACATAATGTAATTAAAGCACAAATCTACTGCAAACTGAAATGTAAAGTTTGGATTGTTTTCAGGTTATATTTATGTTCATTAATTAATAAATTAGTGAAATATAACTAAAAATAAATCAAATTTAAGCATATGCTTAACAACTTAAAAATATCTTTAATTATTCTGTTAAAATCAATAAAGAATATCCTTATTTTTAATAAGAATTTTTTAAAAATAAATTTATAACTGTTAAATTATTTAAAACATGATAAAAATCACATGATTGATACTTTTATTTGAGACTTTATATGTTCATGATTTATGATTTTTATTTAATATTGAATAGTTTATACAGATGTAAAATATATTAAAATTTAATGAGTGATAAATTCAATATTAGCAAACAGAATTTTGTCTAACAAAACATTAAATCTAAATCTAATTTTTGTAATTGATTTTTAAATACAAAACTTTTTAAACTATTAAGAAGATAAATATTTTTTAATAAATTTATTTATTTTAACACAGTAAAATATTTACTAGTGACAAAAATGACTTTCTGTCTAATAGTTTGTATTGTCAATCAAATTTTTTAGACATTAAGTTAATATAATTAAAACTTAATGAGTATATTTATCAAAAATTTATAGTAATTTTTTTTTTTATAAATGCTGTAACAAATTATATTTATATTTAAAATATGCAAAAATGCAAATATTTTATATTAAAATATTTCAAAAAATTTCTTTCAGTATTCACTAAGAGGGAAAGAATAAAAACCTCTGAATTGATATTGATTGAATTATAGTGCAAGTTAATATAAATATTATTTAAGGATATTATTATTAGGCTTGAAAATTATATTTTTGTAATTTGTAACTACTTATCTGCTTTTGTAACAATATATTTATTAATTTTCATATTTCATGTTAAAATTTCATAATATAATATTAAAATGTATGTGAATGGTTACTTTAATACAAATTGTTTTTCATAACATCAAGCTTTTATAATATAATTAACCATTGTAACATGTGATGAAACTTTTTTAAATGGCAAATTTTGATGAAAGTAAAGTTAAAAATTGTATTCCTTTTAAGAAAAAAGATTTGAATTATATAAATAAATTATTAAGATAATGTATGAAATTAACTTTGACTATACTTTGACTAACTTTAACTTTAATTATTGGCTATTCAACCCAACACTGTAGATGATATGTTTTCAAGTTGTGTAAGAATATAGGCAATTAATTTTGTATGTTTTTTTGAAACTTAAGCACAGTACGGATGTATATAAACCAAGCTATTACTGATATTTTACATATAATGTTGTTTATTTTTCTTTTTATAGCTTTGTGATTAATTCTTCTGAAGATCAAAACATAAATTTGTTATGACTGCCTGTTAGCTTTTCAATGTAATTTATGTTCTTGGATTGTTTGAATTCTGAAAATATTTACAGTTAAGTAACTTTGGGGTTTTAATTTAAAATAATTTTTGTTACTAATATTCAAAAATTATATGAGAGTATGTGGGATATAGACCAATAATTTCAAAACACTTGCATGAATGAAATGTTTTAAATACCGTAAGTATATATTGAAGTAAGAACGTGTATATCAGATAGGCATAGTTTATTTATTTTTCAATGACCTAGATTCATTTATAATTATTTTAGTTAACTTTGCCATTATCGTAAACTTGTAAGCTTGAATTCATAGTAGAGTACTTATCATTTGTAATTACTTTTAGTAGTATATGAGATTATAAACAAATGTATTCCATAAAAATTCTTCGGATGTTGAAGAATAGCAATTTTGTATAGGAGATTGTGATTTGCATTATTCATTGCATTTATTAATAGCTACTGCTGGATATTAAAACCTTTAATAATAATTTATAACAATTGTAATGTGATAAATTGAATTTTTAAGATTTATGCATTTCATAAGAATCTCCATTTTACTGTTGCAGTATATTTTTTATTTATAGATGTATATTTTAATATTTCATAACTTAAAAACATTTGTGAAGTCAAATGTATTGTGCTGTTGTGATAATATTCATAACTAAGAATATTATTGTATGCTATTCACTGCTAAAAAATAGGGTTGTTTTGCTTCCCATGGAAGCAATCCTTTATCAAAATGAACTTTTTTAATAGTTACGTAGAAATATATAAATATATTATGGCTTTTTCTATATGATTAAATGTTATTAGTTTAGTTAGTGGCATGAAAAAAGTTAAAGCCACATTGGTTTAATTTATTGTAAATAAAAAGTTATATAATGAGTGTTGTTGTAATGTTTTTAATTTTGAATTCAGTCACTTTATATAATTAATATATTCTCAATAAAACATATAGGAACTATAAAAATTAAATTATAAATATGAAGAAAAAACAAATGTCCAAATCTTAGGAATGAATACATTTGTTAGTGGCAATAACTAGAAAGAATATGACAAGTCACAATGTTGTGTATTGCATCACAATTCAGATGGACATATCCATATTGTTGGGTCTCTCTACCCAATATTGATAAGTACTTTCTATCCATTCTCCATCTATGTCCAAGTGCTCTATGTACCTTTCACCAAAGACTTAATTTTATTGTTTTGAATTTATAAAATTTTACAAGTTGTTTGCATTACCCTGTGTTAGATGTCGAGGAATACAATTCTTGCCATATTTATCTTCATTCATTTACAGTTCTCTGTATTCATGTACAAATGTTGTTCATCCTTAAGTTTTGGACATGTGTCTATTTACATTAAAATTAAAAAAAACTTGCTATTAGTTTAAATATTTAATTTTGAATAAACAAATTTGGTACTTACATTAAATTAATAGTAATTTTAGATTTAAGTTCAACTAATTTATTTTAATAAATTTTATAATAAAATTTAAACATTAAAAATTTATAGCTTTTTTATAGTTAATTTATAATCTTATACTTTTGATTTAATCATTACTGATATATTTTCTGCTGTGTCTATTGATTCCCTTAAGCTATATTGAAGCTACATTACATTTTAAAAATTTATAAAAAATGCAAGTAAAATTCTATAAATATATTTGCGATCTTATCCTATAAAGATAATAGAATTTTTTAAAACTGATAAAACAGATTTAATACTTTTCTAGTAACTACACTTCCATTACACATCTCCAATGACATAATAAAATTGTATTGATTGATCTTAAAGATAAGTTGTGCTCTTCTAGTGCTTTTTAAATACTTCCAGGAGTAAATTTTCTATTTTTAGAATCAATCCTATAAAACAAAGATAAAATAATAATTGATTTTATTGATCTTCACAAAATCAAATCAAATTCAATATAGATTCTTTAGTGATGTTATCTGTCTTCGTGCCAACAACAAGAAAACACATTCTGTTATGTCACTCAACAAAGAAAAATATCGATAAGCCTGATTTATCAATAAATCTTGGCACTTGTGACCAGGCGTAAAAGATATGTTGCATGACTCGTGACTCACACTCGAATCCAGATCTTCCAGAACAGAAAAAGCACTAAAAGAGCACCACTTATCTTTAAGATCATTCAATTGGGAAGCCAAATGATGCAATCAGAATCAATGCTGCTATCAAATGAAATTGTGAACAATCAATGGCATTCAACATGATTATAGTAGCAAAGTAATACATGTGAGTCTTTAAGCTTCAAGTAATTTGGAGGCTCTGAATGTTTAACATTTAAAAACAGTATAAATATTTAACATTTTTATTACATTCCAATGTCCTTTTAGCTCTGGATGAAATTAATGCTTGCTAATGCTCAAGGTTCCATTTTTTTTTATGATTACAGAAGCAATAAAAGTCACCTCATATCAATTAATTGAATGTATTGTTTATCCAATTAGAATGATAAATTATTTTAAAGTTCACAATTAAAGATTTACATCATAAAAAATTGAGACGAACTCTATTTCGATTCATTATAATAAAATGAAATAGCACAGTAACTGTATAACCCGTGGGTTATCTTTGTTGGTTTGGTTTATTTAGTTGACAACGTGACATGTGGGCGATCTATTGAGGGAGGATGCCTCCTGGGACGACTGTTTGTGTATTACAAACGTGAAAAAAACCCGGAAAACTCCACATGACCAGCTCGAACCTAGGACCAACTACCAGTGTTTAGTGCTTTTATCCACTTGGTCACTGGTGGGCGGTTATTGTTTTAATGTCAATTCGAAACCAGATGTAGGCTGTGTTCTAGTAATTTTTCCTTTTATACGCAGGAAATTGCGGTATTTTAATTAATAAATATCTTGGTAAGTTATTGATTTTTTTAAAAAATGTTTATTTATATGAGGAATTATAATTACACTTCACAAGTATTTTGAGAATTTCATAGAATTCTTTTATGAAATTCTACTGTACGGCACTGTTTTACCTTCCTACCGACTTTCATTATGAGCCTGGATAAGCGTATAATGGACATCGAAAAAAGAAACTTTTAGGGCCCACTATTATTTATTTCATTGCATTTTTAGTATTTTAAGAAGGGAAACCTTTTATATAATATATTTTTAAATAATAAAATTTGCCAAAAATTACTCATTTTAATACTTTTTAGCAATTTCTCGTCTTACGAGCTTTAAAAGAGCCTTTTTTTTCCATGTTTACTGTACGTTCGTCTAAGTTTACTCCAGTTGATGAGGGGCAGAATCTTAAATGGCCAGGCCAATCCTTATAAAAAATTCTAACTCCAAGACAATGTTTCTTGCAAAACACGAGCATCTTCACGTTTTGCAAGAACAACATGATCAGAGCTGTGCTTCAGCTATGATTCATTCAACCTGAGAAGGGTACAGCGTTATTCACAATTGTCAGGCCTCATCTCTGAAAGCCATAAAAAAGATTTAATAAAATTAATAAAACAGAGTTTGATTTATATCACATTTATATTTTATTTTTTCACCTGTTAAAAGTTATAACGTAACACTGGAAAGTATTGTAATAGTGCCAAATTGGACTTTCTAGGTTTGCATCCTTTAAATTCAAAAATGTCAAAAAAGGGGGAATTGTTTGGTATGGTGTGTTGTCTGTATGTTTATGTGTTGACATTCATTTCATTTAATATCAGGATGGGATAAAGAAATTTGGCAAAGTAACTTGTATATAAGGGGCATTCATGCTATTAAATTTTGGAGTACGTAACTCAAGGGGGTCATGTATCGTATCTCGAGTCGGGTCGGACTTAATGGAAATTTTACACTTTATTGGCATTTATGATATTTTTAAAAGCTCATTTCAACTCTCAAAATTGAGCCTTTTTGTTTTTTTATAATTATTATTAAAAAATAACTTTTATATTATTATCTAATGGTTCCCTTAATCTCCTGTTCGAGTGCCAGAAAAGTCCAGCAAGAGCCCTTGCCAGCTTGATTTATTTTACATAAAATACTAGAATTTAGGGAATTCCTCTACCTAGAGCGGGTTCAAATGGCCCTATAGTACAATCAATCTTCTAATATATATATAACGTTACTTTTCTACATTAACAAGAAAACAAGCGAGGGTTACTGTTCTCATCCTTGTTACTTCGATGGCAGATTACTCAGTAGGTCCACTAGGGCCTCGTCGTCTCAGGGGGCCTCAAAAATTACACAACGAAAAGATGATATGCTTCTAAAATTCAGTAAACGTTTAAAAAGTTATGTATTGTAAATAAAATAGTTGTTATTTAAAGATTTTATGATCTTTTTAATTTTAAAAACGCGTTTCTACAAAGGCCCTTGTAATAAAATTGCGTCTAGGGCCTTAAAGGAACACGAAATGAAACTGCATAAGCTCCCATGCATTCTGCAAGAAAAACGATAGCATAAAGATAAACAAAGACAGTCACGAATCCACGGAAACGTTATTCAGAATAATAAATGAAAAAAAGGGGGTAAAACGAACAGTGACACGGATAACAACTCTCGATTAAGGGCGTGTTCTTTATATTTTTTCCTTGACATACAAACCTTTCCATAATAAATCTACGTGATGTCAATAATTCCGTTACAGGGAAGGAGATAAAAACAACCTAAATTAATCGAAAATTTCCATTGGAGCTTTACCCTACGTTCAAAAAGGGCAATTGTCTTGGATCCCCAAACCAATTTTTTATAAACTCATTACTGTAGTAAGAATATCGAAATATAAATTTGGGGCCCTCCAGAGATCGCGTTAAACCAATAAAGAAACTGGATGTTTCCCTCAAAAATTACCTGTCTGAATTTAATACTGTACGTAGGGCCCTTAATTCAAATTTTTTCGGGTCCCAAGAAGCTATAACGTGCCACAAATTTGTTGGAATTTTAATTTTAATTTAATAAATAAGTTAATATTTTAAGGAAAATCATTCAAAATTAACGAGTTGAAATATAAAATTTTATCGATAATTGTTTAATTGTAATTAATTAATATACAGTAAAACCTGTGTGAACCGGAATCGCACGTTAATGAATGTGTATTTTTCTCTCGTTTGTAAGATTTCCGTTTAAGACAGGTTTTACTGTACATTATGTTATTGTAGATATAATTATTCTAATGATAAGTTTTATATATTTTTTAATAAATTATTTATTTTTTTCAACTAAAAAAAAACCAAATTTATTGGCTTAATTATATTAAAAATGTATGTAGGTCGCAATTTTTTTTTTCTTTTCTTTTGTATAATTCCATTCTCCAGACCTTGACATTGACCCAAGTTTAATGCCAGTAACTTAATATTTTAATTTTAATTTAATATATTAAACTAGAATATAATTTATATGCAATTTAATAGCAATTTAAGAATATATTTTTTTATTATTTATTATTTTGAAGAGGTTTGCCAATTTGCCAGATTATTTTAATACAGTAAAACCTGTGTAAACCGGAGTCGCACCGAATATTTTGTCAGGTTTCCGTACAGGTTTTACTGTATGCACTTAATACATTAATATATATATATATATTTATGATAAAAACTCCTTCTAAACAATATATTTATGCCTTAAAAGTTCAAAAATTGATAAATAATATTTAAAAGTAGTTTTCTAGTTACTAATTTTGGAAATAACATTGAAAAATAAGTCACTTGAAACGATTTTATCACACTTAGTAGAAATAAATCCTGAAATTACATAAGCCAAAGTTATTTTTGTTTGGTTTAAAGTCACAGCACTTCTAAATTCAGCTTTAATTCTATAGAAAGATGCATTGTCCAGGATAAAAATGCAATTAAAAATGGCTCATTATTTAAATTAAACTAAACAGAATCTTTAATAAATTATGAATTAATGTGATTTATGCAAATATATTTGCATAAACAATCATTAATATATAATTATGTAAATAAATAGTGCAATTTCTCAGACACATACATCATTTCTCATAGTAGTATTTGACAATTAAATTACTTATAATTGACCTTTGACTATTCCAAAATACATAAATTATATAACTGTTAGCTTGCCAAAACTGTCATCTTTAA